TGCGCATCCTAAGACTTGAGGCTGAGCCGTGGTAGCAGAGCCACATCTGTGTGCTGTGGGCCCAGGGGTAGAGCCCTGTCTAGACCCCACACCCCAAATCTTTAAACGCCCGAGCACGGGCTGCGTCCCAGCCCTGTTGAGCCTGAAGCACGTGGACCCAGATTCCCTGTCTCCTGGGCAGAGCCCCGTCGATGCTTTTGAAATGGATTGGCAAGTTCCCCAGATGGAGGGTGTCTTCCCTCTCCACTGTGCTTGGGCCTTCTCAGCACGGTCCTGCGCCAGGACCCCGTTCTCAGTGTTAACCAGTTCCATGTTTGCTTTTACTTGAGTGACTGACTCCTCTGAGGCAGCCAGAACACTCGAAGGCAGCACCTGGCATTGCCCTGGAGGCTGCCAAGGAAGGAGGACAGGCTGTGAGGCAGAGGCCAGCACACCCAAGCCTTTGAGGGGATCAGGGTGCCACCTTCATCCCCTGGGAGGTGGCCCCACCCCAGCTTCAGCCTAGGAAACCCTCCACCCTCGGCCGTCCAGCCCTGCTGCCTGCCTCGGGGTGTGTGGCTCGGGCAGAGGGACGTTTAAAGCACAAAACCACTATGGGGAAGATGCTAGGTTGCTGGGACTTTCTTGCGCCACCTGAGGTGGAGACACAGGCAGGTGGCTGCTGTGATGTCAGAGAACATGATGCTTTTTGCCCTGCTCTCTCCCAGCTCTTGGGGGGTGTCCCCTGAAGCAGTCTGGGCTGGGAGCAGGCACACCCCCTTGGTGGTTCAGCCCCTGCCTGTGCTGTGTTCCCCCGCTGTGTTTGCGTGGGCAGAGCCTGCCCTGCGGGAGCAGGGAGCTCCTTCCCGCTGTGTGGTCCGTCCCTATGGTGTCTGTCCCTTTGCCATCCCAAACAGGAAACTGCTTGCTGTTCTGTTTGCCTAGCACGGCTTCCTGGTCAATGGCCACTGCCCCCCACAGGCCTTCCTGGGCCTGGTCCTCCTCTCCTGGCTCCCAGATCCTTCCCTGCTCTCTTATGTGCAAGGACAGAATCTAAAAGGAAAGTTCTGTTTCTTCTTTGGCATCTTTGTTCTGTCCCCTACCCCCTGCCCATCCCCAGCACTCAGGTGGTCCCGTGGCCTCCACCACACCCTAGTTTAGTCCTTTGAACCCGTGTCCTGAGGGCCTTGCAGGGAAGTAGGAAGTAGAAACTGCTCCATGAACAGCTGAGGGTCAGAGAAGACCCCTGATGTGAATCGGGGCCCCGCCCTGCCCACCAGCTCTTTTCTAGCGATCCCCCTGCCCCCGCCGCAGGGTTCTGTTCGGCTCGCACTGTCCTCAGCGCCGTGGCTAGCACAAGGTGTATATATGTTTTGTACCTCTGTGACAGCTGTACATATGTACGAAAGTTATTTAAGCCTCATGCTGTACATTTCTGTTCCTAGATTGGGTGTGTGTGTTCTAAAAAGTTGTCATAAATAAGACCCGATGACCATTGTCCGTGGAGGTGTGGCCCCTGGGGGCTGCTGGTGGCCCTTCTTTGGGGTGGGAGTTTGGTGGTGGGTTTGCGGGGCAGGCCCCTGGGGCTGTGTCCGGCCCGATGAGAACTCGTGAGTCTGGGGCTTACCCAATTAGGAAGCAGAGCTCTGGGCATGATCCAGTCTCCTCCAGACTCCATACCTTGCCCCCCGGGGTAGATGAAGTAGTTGAAGAGTGGGCACTGGCATTTTTGAGCACCTGCTGTATATTCCAGGCACTGTTCGGGGCATTTTTCATTGGATCTCCACCACCCCGTGTGACAGGTGATAGTCTCACTGTGTGACATGAGAGAAGTCTCGGGACGGGAGTGACTCATCCAGGATCGCAGCTAGTAAGGATGGAGTTGGAATTTGAACCCAGACCTGCCCGACCACAGCTCCATTGTCTGTCACTGACGTATCACGTGCCTCTCTAGGGCCTGGAATACGCTGCATGTGGCACCTGCCGGACACCTGTCCGTCCCTTGCCACTTACGGAGAGGAGACGTAAAGAGTTCACACAAGAAAGCAGGTCTACGGCGGTTGTGACTTTTTTCCAGATCAGTGCTTTTCAGTCTTTGGAAACCCATGTTCCCTTTTGACAGCCAGAAATCCCCGTCAGCTGCCGGATTCTGGCCCACGCCCTGGGCAGAGAGGCCCCTGGGGGAGAATCTGCATCTTCAGCACCAGCCAAGATCCTTTTGGAAGTTTACTTTCTGATTTTTGCATCAGGAAGACAACAGGGTCTCTCTTTGCTTTGTTCCCCAAATGTAAAACTAAGTTGCTTCCTCAGCATGCCCAGGTCCCTGCTGCCGTCCAGACCTGCGGTGGGGACAGTCGCTCGGCCGGGGAGTTCCTGGAGTCTGGGGGAGGCGGAGGACACCGCGGGTGGGAGCGGAAAGGCTCCCCGAGGGAGGTTTCCTCCCGCCAGGCTTCTGGTCCTCAAACAGAAGGGCCTTGGCAAGTGAGAGGGGGACCCTAAGCCACGGTGGGAGACGGGCAGAGATGCTGACCTGCCAGCCTCCCTGGCGGGCACAGAGCCTCCTGCCTTGGGAAGCAGGGTGGCTTCCCGAGGATGGTTTTCTGGCTGGCAGACCCAGCCCCACCCCGTGCCACTCCCCCCACCCACCTTCACTCCCCACAGGCCCGTATTTTACTTAGGATCCTGCCCGACAGTGGGACAGAGCCCGCGGTGAACTGCAGGAGGTGACAATCGGGCATGGCCAGCTGCAGGCCAGGCACTGGGGACCTTGTCACTGGCTGACCCCGGAGGGGACTCCGGCTCACTGGCTCTTCCTGTGGTTGCGCCCCTCCCCCCGCCCCGCAGAGGGTGCAGCAAAGGGCAGGCTTTTCCAGAGGCAGGTCCCCTGCGCCTTGAGGACTCAAGGTGCTGGGGGGATGGGCAGGAACGCTGGGTTCCCACATAAAGCATAACAGCTGCTTACTTTAGAAAATTTAGAAAACAGGAGTGTCAAGAAAAATCCCATTTAGGATATAAGCCTTGGGGCAGCTTTCCAAGATACGAGGAAAGACACTTCTCAGAACTTGACAAGGGCCATTGGTTGTCAGAGCTGGGTGGCATCTTAACAGATCATTTTTCCCAACCTCTCAATTTACAAATGAAGGGAACTGAGGCCCAGGGAGGCCGACAGAGTTGGCCAAGATGATACTGGGACAAAGATGGCCCTAGAAGCCATTACTTTCCGTGTGCTTGTCACCGTGGCTTGACCAAGGTGAAGGGGTGATTTGAATAGTCTTTGAAGTGCACCATCCCAATGCACTTGACCTGTTAATGGGTCTTTAGTAAGATCTACCTTTTTTCGTTGCTTGTAGCAAAGCGAGATTGCCCTTTGGGGTGCCAGGAAGGAGACACGAGAGTGCCACTGAGTCTTGTGCTAGTCCTGTGCACCTCCATCTATGAAAGGTTCAGCTGATAAGGCCCCTGGTGACAGCTGGTGGCAGCTGATGTGGGAGCCAGAGAACGGGCTGCGGGGCGTGGGTGAGAAGAGCCTTCTGGCCAACACGGAGATCAGTGCAGCCTTTAATGCCACTTTCGAAGTTGCTTGCAAGCATGACCAAGGGACTCCAGCTGCCAGGCCCGGGCTGACACAGACCTGTGAACAGTGAGCCACAATGAGCAGGAGGCACACGGGGGTGCGGAGCACAAGGAGGGGGCTCTGTGTTCGTGCCCCCAAGGGCTTGGGTGCGGGTGGCAGAGGCCAGCACTGCCAGGCAAGAGCCAGCGCGAGACACGCATCTGCCTCTCTGTGGCCAAGCTCCACGGAGTCACAGTGTGTGAACTGCCCGTGGGGGTGCCTGCTTCTTAGGATATTGGGTTATTGTCCTGTAAGCTTTGCCTAGGGCCTGGCTGATGGGAGGTCAGGGCTACAAGGTGACACCCTGGCTAGAGGGTCAAGGAGTTGGCAGTTGTGGGAGCAGCAAATGACCCTGCAGAGACCTGGACGGTGGCTCCAGGAGCTCTGGCAGGTCGACCTGGGTAAGACTGATTCCAACAGGAGCAGCTGGAGGCAGTCGGTGCTGACCCAGCTCACCTTCAGCATTGGGGAGGAAACTTCTGGCTCTTCAGAGGACCAGTGGCCAAACTTCCGGTATTCAGGCGTGAGTGTTGTCACCGGGGCTGCGGTTTGGGCTGCGCCGAGGGGCAGCCACAGTGGTGTTTCTGCAGAGCAGCCCTGCTCCTGGCTGTGTGGTAGCCAACTGTCTGAGCTTCCGGGATATCGTGTGAGCCCACGAATGGCCCTTTCGTAAATCACTTTCCTGCTCCAACTAGCCAGAGCAGCTTCTGCTGCTCGCCATCAAGAACACTGCGCAGCGCAGCTGGATTCCAGAATACCTCACGTGTCCCAGCATCACTTCCCCTCAGCTCGCAGTTGAAATTGGCTCAAAAGAAACCGCTTGGTCTGGCCTCAGGTCACTTGGCTGAATGACAGGGGCACAGAGGAGCAGGGCCAGGAGGGGCCAGACTGGGTCCAGAGGCTTGTTGCAGAGAAGGCGGCTCACAGCAAATGCTCTATGCGTACGCCAAGAACTGACTACTGGAAAGACGACGTAACAGCTACTTCCCCAAAAGTGCACGTTGGCCGGGCGCGGTGGCTCACGCCTGTAATCCCAGCACTTTGGGAGGCCAAGGTGGGAGGAGTTTGAGACCAGCCTGAACAACAGAGTGAGACCCCGCCTCTACAAAAAATAAAACAAATTAGCCTGGCACGGTGGTGCTCCTGTAGTCCCAGCTACTTGGGAAGCTGAGGCTGGAGGATCACTTGAGCCCAGAAGTTGAAGGTTGCAGTGAGCTATGATGACACCACTGCATTCTAGTCAGGGTGACAAAGAGAGACTCTAAAAAAGAAAAGTGCATGCTTTCTCCTTTTATTATAAAGGTTCTACAGGAACACACCTGCGTTTCTGCATTTCTAGTGCAGGGCTGAGGCCCTGATGTCACAGTCTCGGGACCCAGGCCTACATCCAGGACCCAAGGATGCAGGCTCAGAAGTGGCTCCTTTGGGACTTCCTCCTGCAGAAGCAGGAGGTCGGGGTCCTGACCGGCAGCATCTTCTTCTTGGCTTCCAGGACGTAGAAGGTCTGGGTGGTGAGGCAGCTGACCATGGGGTCGGGGTCTCTCTGCATGTACCTTAGGGCTAGACACAGACACTGCTACAGTGCATGGAACAGAGAAAGGCTGCCAGGCTGGGCGGGGGGCCCTGGGCTCTGCCGTGGGGGAAGGTACAGGGCAACAAGACGTGGATGGGCAGATTTCAGAAATACGAGCAGGAGTTTCTTCCGGGAGTCCACACTGCCCAGCCTCAAGCAAGCCCACATACCTGCCACGGGCTGAGGGACATGCAGGGCCAGGCTGCGCCCCACCCTGCACCTGTTACAACACTCGTGCCTCCACCCCCGCTCCCCGGCTCTGCCCTCCTCTGCGCCATGCAGTAGCTGAGTGCGGAGTCCTCTGACTTCACAGAGAGCTACAGCCAGGGATTCAGCCACACGCAGGGCCCAGCAGTTCTGTCCTGTGAGGAGTTCTCGGAACCGTCCTGGCTGGCGAACGGGCTCCACTCGAGGGCAGTGTGGGTGAGAGAGAGGACGTGGGGCAGGGGGGCTCTGACCAACACCAAGACCTAAGTTTCCTGGGAACGAGCCGCCTCTTTGCTCCTTCTGGATAACTTCTGTGAGCCCGCCTACCCATGTTTCCTGGTTTCTGAGCCTTCCGCATCAACACCAGCATCCCTGAAAGACGCCAGGAGTCGGCGATCGGGCTGCCACTCACCTGCATGTGCCTCCTCGATTTCATCGATCTCTTCCAGGTCTAGGGTTTGGATAATCTGGCCTGCGTGGGCACACAGAGGCACTCAGTGGGACCCTGGCTGCAAGCTCTTGTCCCCTTCCCAAACACTCACCATTCCCTCCCTTTTTCTGTCTTTCCCTCCCATGGCCAACAGCCTCAGGTCTGGACTTCTCTCATAAAGTTAAAATTGCGTCCCCTCTTTTCTGAAGGGTTCTAACCAAATTGGGCTGGGTGAAGGAGTGGACACTTCTCCCTGGGGTGACACGAGGCAGTCCCCGGCTGTCTCTGAACTTCCCCCACCGAGCAGCTCTCATGCCCCTGACACCCCACACTTCGGGAGCTCTGCCTGCCTGGCCTCCTGGGCCTCGGCCCATTCTGCTGGAGGACGGTCCCCCCAGCCCAACCAGGAGCTTCCTGCAGGGGAGGGGAGCAGGTGGGGTCCTGCCCTCTGACATAATTGCCATGGGCATGGTACGTCCTCATGTCCCAGCCCTCAGTCTGTCTGAAGGACCCTACAGTAAGGACACAGTGGCCCCAAGAAAACAGAGGCCATACCTGCGAACCACACCGCGGCCCGGCGGATGGGGGCCTGCGGGCTCTTGAGGAGAGACACAGTCTGCTTCAGAAACCAGAGGGCTTTGCTCGCCTCCTGCTCCAGCTGTCGGAAGAGGTGACGATTACGGAAGGGGCCCCTTGCCAGTTCCTCTGCCCCCTCAGACAGTCTTAAGCTAAATTGGAGTCATCTCCTGAGTGCAAAAATCTGTCAAAACATTCTACATCTCCGTCCTCCTACCGCAGCTCCTGAAATTGTATTTCTTCCATGAAGCCTTCCTGGATTGACCAAGCCACAGGGATCACTTGCTCTGGCCTTGACCCAGTTGGGCCATGACACTCGTAGGGATTTACCCCAATCTTTGGCTCACGCATTTTTCCTCCTCCTCCCACCAGTAGGGGAAGGAACTCCATCGTTCACATATGGTTCATTTACACCTTGGCTTGAAGTCTTCAACCTCGTGGTCATGTGCTTTACGCTGCGAAAGATCCAGTCGTGTCTACACCATTCTGTTCACACAGGGCCTAGCGGTGCTCATGTAATCAGGTGTCCTCACACCTCCCTTCCCCTGCCTCTTCCCACGCCTCTTCCCTCAAAGGCTCGGAGGACGCTGTGCCCTCCCTTTGCCACAACCGCTGACCCTGACCCCGGCTCCTGCGCCTCCTGCCTTGCTATATTCTTTCTCTCCTTCCCCACTCTGCAGTCTCAGTTCTGCAGGCCACGGCCACGGCTTTTTCCAACTTCTTTCAGCAGCAGGATCTTTTCTTTAAATAAAAGTCGTCACTGGAAAGCCCATATCCCCAGGCAACGGAAGAGGAGGCTGCTCTGGCCGGAGCGGTGGGGAGGCGGAGCCCAGCGCACCTGCCCGTCTCCCAGCTGCGAGGTCACGCCAGAAGCCCGTGGGATCCTGCCCCACAGTCTCCCAGACGCTGCCCAGACTCGTGCCGCAGCCACATCGCTGAGCCCTGCGTGCTTCCTGAGACCGTGTGCTTCCTGGGTGACGTGACCGTCCTTTCTTCTCATTCTCCCTCGACGTCCTTAGAGCCGATGTTGCCTCCTAAGCTTATCCCGCCATGCTCTTTGCTCAGCGAGCACATCGGGGCCATGGCTGTGTTTCCATCCTCCATTCCACGGCACGCTCGGCGCTCACGAACCCGTACCTCCAGCACGGCCCTGTTCCCCAGACTGCAGCGACGTACGTCTGACTTCCAGTGGGCGGGACGCGCTTGGTGTTCCCACGGTCTCGACAAACTCAACATGCACAAAGTCGAGCCACCGTCCTCCGTCCACACCTGCTGCTCCCTCCTGACCTCCGTCTGTGACACCACCGTTCACCCATGTCAGACACCCAAGAGCTGACCTTTACCCTCACATTCCACGTCGACTAGCTGAGCCCTCTGTGCCTCTGTCTTCACGGCTTTGTGGTCTCCCCCCAGACCCCTGCAGCACAGGCTGCGGTTCTGTCCCTCATGCACTCTCCTCGGATCTGTACGCGGGGGTTTGTGAGATGCACAGCTACGTAACCATCTTACCTGCTTGAAACACTTCAGTGGCTCCCGCTGCCCACGGCGCCCTGCTCCTCCGCGGGGCCCGGCCCCTGCTCCCTGACTCTGTTCTCCTGCCAAGACTGCGCCCTGGCCGCCCATGAGCCAACCCAGCTCGCAGAGTTTTTTGTTTGATCCACACAATGTTTTATGTTATAAATTATTTGCCAGCATAAATGTGGGAAATTTCACCTAAAATCAGGATTTCCTGCTTCTCTAACAACTTAGCAGATCTAGCAATCCTGAGCCCACTTTCTCTCATAGGAACAATGGGTTGCATCTCAACTGGGGACTGAACTACAAAGCACATTCCTCCCTTCTAGGCCTCGCCAAGGTGTCCTGAGATTATCCATGGATGTGCCCAGCTCCCTGATGTAGACAGGAAGCAAGGGGAGGGCAGGAGCCGTGCCTAAGTGCCAAGCACGAAGCAGATGCTCAGTGAGTGTCTCGTTGAACCGTTGCTGCTGCTGCAAACCTCAGAGCTGTAGGAGAAGGACGCGGGCAGAGGGGACGCCACCCTTCCTTGCCCAGGGGCAGAGTGGGGGGGGTGAGCTGGGGCTTACCAGGGCTCCGAGGATGGTCCACACATCTTTCTCCGAGAATACTGCTTTGAGCTTTGACCAGCCCAGCAGGGCGGCTATGTGGCAGAGGGCAGACTGGCAGATCTGGGAGACAAGGAGTCTGCGTGTGAGGAACACGGGCATGGGGCCTGGCAAGGACATGGAGGGGCCCGAAGAAGGGAGACAAGAGGCAGCGCTCAGACTCGGCGGGACGGGACTCCCGGGAGCAGACGGGGAGCCGGGGGTCAGGAGGAAGGCAGGGCTTGTCTGGGCTGTGTGGCTCTACTTACAACCCTGTGTCCCGTGAATGAGAAGGTTAGAAATGACAGTTCCAGCGATTTTCCAGTTGCTGTGGCACTACCCTGAGCCCCAGAGCAAGAAGACTACCCACCTCCTAGCCTTCCTTATTCACTGGCCCCAGAGCTTCCCACTCCCCAAAAACAGTCCCTCTGAAAACAAATTTCCCCCAAGCCTTAATCCACCAAGCAATTTAGAATAGCGGTCACCATGCTAAGGCGGGGCTGGCTGTGCCAGGACTCTCGCCATTGACTTCGCGGTGGGACGCCACCCCCAGAAAGGACATCCCCACTAGCAGCATCCCCAGCCGTGCCTGAGGCCTCAGGGGTGGCAAAGCAGCCGCTCTGTGGGACGGGGTGTCCTGTGGTGAACCGAGTCAGCCAGTGTTCAGGCAGAACTGCAATTCACGTCCCTGGGACTCCTGGGCTCAGAGCTGAGCCCATTCATTCCAGAACATGGGCCAGCTCCAGGCGCTCCCTGCGCTGCCACCCACACGCCTCTGGGGGGGGCTTCCCTGCCCAGGGAGCCTGTCTCCATTCCAGGGCGGGAGTTTGTAGAAAGCGGTGTGGAGAGGAGGCCACTGGGGCCACAGCAGGGAAGCAGAGAGGGACTGGCGCCCCCCCAGAATATTCCACTGGGAGTTGGTGGCCAACCAGAAAGAGCCAGAAGCTGGAGAAAACTCCGGTGCAAACCTCTGGTTATCCCTAGTTTCTCACCGAAACTCTCCAAGGTCAGAGACCAGGGGACTTTTTCAGCATCACCCAATCCTGCCACCACCCTGCCTGAGCGCTTCAGTGGTTAGCATCTGTCTCCCGTGAGAACCGGGGCTGCAGACCAGGCTCCAAGGCCGGGCCTCTCACCAGAGCCACGCTGATATTCGCGTCCTGCAGGTGGAGCACGAGGACGATTATCAAGTTGAGCACCTGGTGCTTCAAGGGGAAGACAAGGACCCTCCTGTTGACCTTGGCCAAGAGACCTCCATAGATTTCAAAGGCTATCAAGCGCAGATGCTCTGACTCCTGGGGAGAAGACACACACACACACACACACACACACACACACACACACACACACACACACACACACACGGGGAAGACACCTTTGCATCTGTGCATCCACCTGGCCACCCAGGGTTGGGGGGGCCCCCAAGCTCCGCCCCCACCAAGCGCATGCTCCCATGTGCGCTGCCCCTGCTCCCATGTGCGCTGCCCCTGCCACGTGATCTGCTTTGATTCTATGGCACCAGACCCTCCCCCTGCTGTCTGTCCACCTCGCTCCACTGCGCCCCCTTTATGACCATCACACAAGAGGGCAGAAGCAGTCAGACCCGTGCGGAATGGCATCGCATTCAAGGTGGAAGGGCCTTTCGAGATCATGCTGCCCAGCTCCCTTATTTTACAGACACCCAGAGAAAGAGCAGGACACCCCCGAGGACCTCACCTCCTCGAAGAAGGGCACCAGCGTGAAGGTGAGCTGAAGCAGGAAGGAGGAGGAGTACTTCCAGGTGAGGTGGCTCAGGAGGTCCTTCAGCATCAGCAGAGTGTCCACCACGATGTCGCTGTTCGAGGAGCAGCAGCAGTTGAGCACGTAAGGCTGGAGGATGTGGAGGTGTCTCACCTGCAGGGCGACAGCTGCTCAGGAATGGGGAGCTGGGGAAATGACGCCCGCTACGTCAGGGGCTCCCATTCAGTTCAGTCCAGCCCCAGAGATGAAAGCCAGTGGGCACACACGCTCCTGCTTTTTCTTCCCAGAGCTGGGACTGGTCCGGCAAATGGGTGGCAGTCCGGCTGAGCTGCCCAGGAGGGCATTTGGGGAGGGGACTTTTGTCCAGCAGGGGCAAAGGGGACAGACAGAGGAGACCCCTCCTTCCACTACACTGTGAGTCCCCATCTCCGCTGCCTTTCTCTTCCCTGATGACACCGATCTCCAGGAGACCCGGATGGAATGTCTGGGATCCGGGACTGGCGTGGCCTGTTCTCTGAAATGACCCCTTCCCGAGGGGGCCTCTCCTGGGAGGGAGAAATCACTCGTGGGTCGAGCCCTGACACCCTTCTATAGTGGACCGGCCTCATGAGGATCAGCCTCTCTGCTCCCAAGAGTGTGTCCCACCCAGTCTAGGACTTGACACACTGACCGCCCAGTCTCTCTGTCCCTTCCCAGTGACAACAGCTGCTGAGAGCGCGCCCATGACCCAGGGCCCATTTCACCATGTTTTCATCCTTGGCGTAGGCCTCCGTCAGCTGCAGCAATAGCTTCACCGTGGCCAACTCCTCAGTCTGGAACCAGCTTGCCAGGATGTGGGTGGCAACGTTATCCACCATGGCTGCCACGTCTGGGCACTGGAGCAGCTAGAGAAAGGAGACCGAGAAACATCATTGGGCAAGGAGGAAACATCCTCAATGGCTTGGATCTCGGCTCCTACTCATTCGTAAAGAAACATTCTGAAAGGTTTGGCAGAACTGGTCGCGAGGCCAAAGCTTAGTTAAAGGGTGAATTCCCACCTATTGTTCCAGAAGTCGTTTATTCATTTTATAAGATTTCCTTAGGCATCTTTGATAAGCGGAACTGTAGGAGATGAAAGTAAGAAATTCACTCTGCCCTCAAAGACCCTAACAAGCCAGTTGGGGAGTGGAGACTTACGTACACGAACCAGCTGGTGAACACCAAGGCAATAATGACATTGCACAAATTAAAAGTAAGTCAAAAATCATTATACGTACGTGTTCATTAGTCTAGGAAGAGTTTATAAAAGAGGTAGAACTTGAGCTGAACTTGAAGAATACAGACAGGGGAATGCGTGTTTGAGTTTAAAGGGGAGAAGCGGCCCCCACCCGCCCTCCCCCGCCAGGGCCAGTCACCTCCGTCAGGAGCACAAGGGCAGTCCGGTGATTCCTGCAGCCGGGGTCCTGCAGGATCCTGACGATGAGGCCGAAGATGGGGCGGTTGTGCCAACAGCCGTTGATGACCAGGGACCTACCAACAAGAGCACAGTGCTCAGGGTGCGCCTGGCCACGGGAGGGAAGGTCCTCCAGCCAGGGACCCAGGCACTGCTTACCTGGCCACCAGAGTGACTCCATCATAGTGTCTTTCAGGATTGGTAAGCAGCCCCCAGCCCCCAAGTTGCTGAATGGAAGACACGTGGTCCGCATACCCAGAGCTGCGCATCAGGGTCTGCAGAGCCTCCACGGTAGAACTGGGGAAAGAGCAGAAGGCAGACCGGAAGTCACGGCCACCTGTGCGACTACCCGAGCCTCCCTTCGAATCGTAAACTGCTGGCGGTGGGACGGCCCCCGCGGACCCGGGCTGACATTTCACAAACGAGGCAACCAAAGCCAAGAGAGATGTGGCATCCCCAAGGTGACTCGGGAAGCCGGCAGAAGGGTAGGGAGTGTGGTCCGGGGCTGCGGGTCCCGATGTGTTGTTTCGTTAACATCTATTGTACTGACTCCCCGTGGTACAGAAGCTCCCCAGCAGCCTGGTCAGCCAGACTTACAGAAAGAGCCTTTTCTAAAGAGTCCAGGACGTCCTGCAGTGATGTCTGGGGATCAGGCGAGAGGGTGTGGAGTGTTCGGGCCCAGCAGGCAGGGACCAAGTTGGGCGAGGGCACTAAGCTGACGGACCCGGGAACACAGTCACTAGCAAACTGGCCCCGGGGCCAAAGGTACCTTATGGGGTCCACCCATTCGGTTACGTGATCTGGGTCCTGGACGGTTTCAGCAACCCCTTCAATCACAAAGCAGGAGACCTGGAACAGCAGGGCCAGGAACAGGGGAGAGAAGAAGGTCTGCACTTCGATCCGACGGCTCGGTTCCAGCAGGAGCTCGTGGATGGCCCTGGTGGCCTGGGGTGAGGAGGAGAGCGGGGGCATTATCATCGTGACCTTCAACTCATAGGTCCTGTCACCAAGAAACCTCCCCACAGCCCATCACCGTGACAGGCTTGCCCAGGAAAACCCATGCTGCCAGAGCCAGGGACGATTAAATGAGCGTGAGCCAGAAAAACAAAGGGCAATTTCTAGAATGTCATTGTTTTAAAGTGCTGTTAGAATCATGGTGCTGTTTTATTCCCTCATCAACCTTGAAAGTTAAGGAGAACTGGGGAATCCAGTTCTGTCTCCCTGACAAGGCAGGGTCAACTGGAAAACCTTCCCTCCAATTCCGTTCAATATTCCAACCCAAGCCTAAGACTCTGCCACTAGAATATTCAGCCAAACACTGATACCTAAAAGGTAAAGGCCCAAAGACCTCAAGACAGGTTAGGACAGGACATCAGAGAGTCCCCTTCTCCACCCACAGCCCCACTCTGCCGGCCCCTCCATACAATCAGCGGAGAGATGGCTGTTCTGCAGCTGGGCTCCTGGACCCTCGACTGCTGGTACGGAGTCAGCCTCTGCAGCAGGTATTCCATGATCACCTCGTAGCCTTTGGGGAAGGATGCCAGGATTTCCCAGGGCTTGTGGACCCCTCTGCAGAGTCGGAAACCCACAGACAAGGTTACCCACCATGGGTGACCCACTCTCCAACAGGCCCCACAATGCTCCCAGAGGAGACTCCAGGCTCATTGCCGAGTCCTCTTGCTGCCCTGCTTTCTGCCTTCTTCCTTGTCTCTCTATTATCCCCTCTCTTCTCCTTCTATTCCTTCCATCTTTTCATCACCTCCAGACTTCCCTGTTCTCTGTGATTTCACATATATATAAATCTGGAAATGTTCATTTGGCCTATGAACTTGACTTGAGAAAATATCTGAGGCCAACGCTTTTTGGCCATAATAAATTTAAACCACAAATCAGTAATAGTTAAGATATCTGGAAAATCCACAACTGTCTGGAAATCATAACAACGTTTCTAAATAATTCATGAGTCAGCGAGAAAGTCTCAAGGGAAATTAGAAAAGATTTTTGAACTAAATAAAAATGAAAATACAACATATTTAAAAATGTGTTGGCTGTAGCTAAAGCTATCCTTAGCAGGAAATTCATAGCATTAAAGTGCTTATTTTATTTATTTTTTAAAAGTTTTTAAATTATTTGCTTGTTTTTTGTAGAGACAGTCTCATTACGTTGCCCAAGCTGGTCTAAACTCCTGGCCTTAAGCAATCCTCCTGCCTCGGCTTCCCATAATGCAGGGATTACAGGTGTGAGCCACCACACCTAGCCTAAAATGCTTATTTTAAAAAAGAAGAAAGTTCTCAAATCATTAATTTACATTTTCACCTTAAGAAACTAGAAAACGATGAGCAAATGACTAGATAATCTGAATGGCCCTAACTACTGAATAAATTCAATTGGTGGTTTAAAAACTTCCAGCAAATAAAACTCTAGACCCAGATGGCTTCAGTGGTGAATTCTACTAAATATTTAGAGAAAATTAATGCCAATTTTACACTATCTCCTCCAAAACATAGAATATAAGGGAATACTTCCAAAACAATCTTCAGAGTTCAGCATTACCATAACACCAAAACCAGATAAAGATAATATAAGAAAAAAAGAAAGAATGAAAGGAAAAAAACTATAGACCAATATACCCCATGAAAAACTCCTCAACAAGATAGACACAAAATTCTTCAACAAAATATTAGTAAATCGAATCCAACAACATCTAAAAAAGATAATGCATCACATCCAAATGGAGTTTATCCCAGGAATGAAAGGCTGGCTCTATAGCTGAAAAATGTAATTTACCACACTAATAGGATACAAAAGAAAAACCACACAATTATCTCAAAAAACTTGACTAAATTTAATCTCCATTTGTGATAAACACTCCAAACAAACTAGATATAGAAGGGAACTTTCTTAACCTGATAAGATACATCTAACAACAAAAGACAAACCCTGCCATCTAGCATTATACTTAAAAATGAAAGACTGAAAGCTTCTTCTCCAAGATTGGGAACAAAGCAAAGATTTCCACTCTCACCACCATGACTCAGTATTGTATTAGGAGTCCTAGCCAGTGTGATAAAGCAAGAAAAAGAAATACCAATTGGAAAGAAAAAACTAAAAACTGTTCTATTTACAGATGACATGATGGTCTATGTAGAAAATCCCAATCAATCTACAAAATAGCTCTGAGAACTAATAAGTGAATTTAGTAAGATTGTAGAATATGAGGTCAATATATAAAAATCAATGTTATTTCTACATACCAGTAATAAACTATTGGAATTAAAAAAAAAATTTAAGTACCATTTACAATTGCACGAAAAAAATACTTATGTATAAAACTAACAAAATCTTTGCAAGGTCTGTATGATGAAAAATACAAGAGTGACGAAAAAAACAAAAAACCTGAACAGAGAGATATGCCATGTTCATGGATCAGAGACTCAGTATTCTGAAGATATCAATATTCCTCATATTTATCTATAGATGCAACACAATTCCAATAAAAATACCACTACGATACTTTTTAAAGAAATAACAATTTCATATAAATTATAAAATTTATGTGGAAAAGCAAAGGAAATGCAATAGCTAAAACAATATTGAAAAAGAGTAACAAAATTGGAAAACTCCTACTACCTGGTTTCAAGACTTAATATGAAACTACATTATTACTATTAGAGACAATGTGGCATTGGTGAAAGAAATGACACGTAGATCAATGGAATGGAAGAGAGAGCCCATGATAGACCCACGTGAATGTGGTCAATTGATTTTTGATAAACGTACAAGGATAATTAATTGAGAAAGTTTAATCTTTTTGACAAATGATGCTAGAACAATCACACGTCTATATGCAACAGATTGAACCTCAACTCGTTCCTCACACTTTATAAAAACGTAACTAAAAATGAATTATAAACATAAATATAAAACATAAATGTATAAAAACTTCTAGAAGAAAACATGGAAGGAAATATCTGTGACCTTAAACATGATTTATAAAGAGAAAAAAAAGATAAATTGGACCTCATCAAATGAAAACCTTTTGCACTCCTAAGAGAATGAAAAACAATCCACAAAATGGAAGAAATATTTGAAAATCATATATATGGCAAAAGACATATACAGAATATGTAAAGAACTCTCAAAAATCACCCATAAGAAAACTAACAACCCAATTAAGACACGGGTAAAAGATCTGGACACTTGATCAAAGAAGAGATATGGATGGCAAATGAAGACATGAAATGATGCTCCACGTCATCAGTTGCTATTAAGTTAGGGAAATGCAAATTAGAAGCACAAGGAGAAGCTTCTACACACTTGTTAGACTGGCTAAATTCCTTTTAATGACTATACCAAGTGTGGGCAGGGAGGGGAGCAACCCTAATGCTCACGTGTTGCTGGTGGAAATGCAAAATTCTATAGCCACTATGAAAAACAGTTTTTAAAAAGTTAAGCATACACCTCTCATGTTGCCCAGCAATCCAATTCCTAGGAATTCATCCAAGAGAAATGGAAGTTTATGTTTACACAAAAACCTATCCACAAATGTTTATCACATCACTATTCATAATTACCGAAAATTGGAAACTACCCAAATGGTGAGTAGACAAACAAAGGGCGGTACATCCGTACAATGGGATACCGTTCAAGGGTGAAAGGAATGAACTGTTGACGCATACAACCACATAGATGCAGCCCACATGCACTATGCTAAGTAAATGAAGCCGGATTCCAAAGCCTACACACCATGTGATCCCTTCATTCTGAAAAAGGCAAACTATAGGAAGAGAGAACAGGTCAGTAGTTGCCAGGGCGTGGGAGTGGGGGAAAGCGCTGACTGCAGAGGTTAGCGCAGGGGAATTTTGAGGGGTTATGGAAACGCTTTGTACCGTGATTGTGGTGGTGCCGATTGCGACCGTGCATTTGAGAAAACTTGTAGAACTGTACAGCAGAAGGGTGAATTTTACTGCATGTAGATTTTAAATTTTTTTTAAGTGTTAAAAAAGGAAATTATATTGTAGTACATCCATACAATATATATCAGGAAGCCATTAAAATTATGCTTACAGAAGGGTTTTAACTTGGGAAAATGCATGATAAAACATTCAATGAGAAAATATATAAATTGGTATAGACAGTATGAGCTTGACTATGCGTTTTTAAAAGGCAGGCAAATGATAAACTATGCCCAAGTGATAGCAGAGGTTGCCTTGGTGTGGGATGTAATTTTTTTTAATTAGACATGCTTTCCAACTTTTCTGGAATAAACCATACTACTCTCAACAATTGCTGTGCCCCAAATAAGTAAGAAACTATAAAAAAAACTGAATACATGTTAAGAATAACCAAACTGAGAAAACTGTTGGAGCCGTGTTCATCTACCCATCACCTACTTTTGGGACTGATCTTCCATCTTGAACAGCGTCAGGATGACTTCGTCCGTGTAGGACTGCGCCAGCAGGTAGAGGATCTTCTTAACGGTCGTCTGGGCTGTGATTTCCGTGATGCTGTTCATGTGGTGGTAAAGGTACCGGATGATTTCTGGAACCTGGAATGAGGGGAAAGGGGGTTCTCTCTGGGTGCCCAACACCAGCTCACCAGGCCCCGTGTGACACGTGGGGCTGCACATGACACCTACGCAGAGTGTCCAGACTAAAGAAATCGCCGTCCTGCGTGCTCTGCCCCTCCTGGGCCACCCCCGCAGGACTGTGGACTGTTTCGGCCCTCATATTTTAAGAGAGGGACAAAAGAGAGAGCAGCCAGGGAAGGGAGCTCAGAACCATGTGTGGAAACCACGTCACAAAGAAGGAAGGAAGAGTCTAAGGATGAGTAACTTGGAGAAAGGATGACAAGGGACAGAGGACTGCTGCCTCCAAATCTCTGAAGACCATTATGGGCCGGGCGCGGTGGCTCACACCTGCAGTCCTAGCACTTTGGGAGGCCGAGGCGGGAGGATCGCTCAAGGTCAGGAGTTCGAGACCAGCCTGAGCAAGAGCGAGACCCCGTCTCTACTAAAAATAGAAAGAAATTAGCTGGACAACTAAAAATATATAGAAAAAATTAGCCGGGCATGGTGACACACGCCTGTAGTCCCAGTTACTCAGGAGGCTGAGGCAGGAGGATCGCTTGAGCCCAGGAGTTTGAGGTTGCTGTGAGCTAGGCTGATGCCACGGCACTCTAGCCTGGGCAACACAGTGAGACTCTGTCTCAAAAAAAAAAAAAGACCATTATGGAGGGAGGGAAGGGCCGGCCCTCGCTCTATGGGCCCATGGTGAGCAGCTCGGGCCGGAGTATTGGCCTGGGCAAGTTTTTCATCCTCTCTGTCCTGTAGTTCCTCAAATAGGAAATAAGGAGAACAGTCCTACCCACCTCGGCAGTTCCGAGTTAATGCATCTCAATTGGTCGGAGCAGTGCCTGTCACTAATAAGTACTCAAGAAACTCTAGTTAATAAGGTTCACAGCCTCCTTGAGCCTTTTCCCATTTCTGAAAGAAAATAATTACCTCCTTACAGACCTGGCTTAAGAATTCAATAAAATAACACGTAAGCGGAGCTAGCAGTGCCCGGCACCTAGTGTTAGTAAAACCTGAATATTAACGGAATTCTGCACAGCCCCAGGAGGCAAACTTGGGCTAGGGATTGGAAACTATGTGGATACAGAGTTAGGCTCAGTTTAAGGTAGAACTTTCAGACAAGGAAAGTGGTTTACCTTTCTATGCTGTTGGAGGGAATGTAAATTAGTGCAACCATCATGGAAAAACCTCATTATGGAGGATTGAAAATAGAGCCAGCGGTTCCACTTCTGGCTATACAGCCGAAGGAGATGGAATCACATCTGACAGATGTCTGCACTCCCGTATCATTGCAGCGTTAGTCACAATAGCCAAGACATAGAAACGACCTGAGTGTCTGACGAGAGATGAATAGGTAAAGAAAATGAGGCACACACACACACGATGGCATATTATTCAGCCTTCAGAAAGAAGGAAACCCTGTCATTGCAACCACATGGATGAACCTTGATGACAATATAAGTGAAATAAGTCAGGCACAGAGAGACAAATGTTGCACGATCTCACATGTGGAATCTGAGAAAGTCAGAGAGTAGGACGGTGGTTACCAGGGGCTGGGGAGATGTTGGTCAAAGACACAAGATTTCATTTAGACAGGAGAAATAAATTCAGGAGATCTCTTGTACAACATGGTGACTGTAATTAATAGCATGTATACTTGAAAATTGCTAAAAGAATAGATTTTAAGTGTTCTTACCACCAAAAAAAGTGAGTTAATGGATATGTTAATTAGCTTGATTTAGCTGTTCCACAACGTATACACATTTCAAAATATCATGCTGTACACCATAAGTATATATATCATTTTCGTCAATTAAAAATTAATATTTTTTTAAAAAGAAAGTGGTTCACAGCTAAAAATGAACTAGGATTTAAGGTAGTGAGCTCTCCCCACACGATGGCTGCCCAGTGGTCCAAGGTGCTCCAGAAGGGATCGCAGCGTCCAGTGGGAGGCTGGAGTCGTTGACCTCTGGTCCCCTGCAACCCCAATAGCTGATCAGTAGTGGCTCTGAGGCTTTTGGTCAAATGGTTCTCCAGGCCAGGGAAGTGGAAAGCGTAGGGCCCAGGAACTCGGTCTCATTGAAGTGAGGGTGAATCTACAAGAGCTTTTAACATCAGTAAACAGGACAGATAAAGATAAACTGTGCTGTCGGTTCTACTGCGAACCAGTCCCGCTTCTGATGACGGCGTCTCCGAGTCTCTGTCTTCCGTCCTGCCTTCACGTCAGTGTGCGGTAAGCGTATATATATCCACCCCTGCCCTCCACCGTGCAAGAAGGTGGCACCTACGCCTCTAACATACCACACACTGTCGGAAGCAGGACAGAGATCACCCCTGGTCCTGGGAGCCCCTAGTAATCTCCTCCTGCTCTAGCTTTGACTCAACTCTTTCTTCCTTCCTGGTAGAGGTGACAGCCAGGCGGTCACCCCTTCCCACGAAAGGGCCTTTTCCACAACCACAAACAACTCTTCATTTAGCCCTTTCTCATCTGGGCTAAAGGATTGTGAGTCCCTAAACTCAAGCCAGTCGGAAATAGAACAAGACCCAAAATGGAGCAGAAAGGAAGAATCCTTAAATCGACTTTGAACTATCGGCCCCCCAGAGCTGCTACCTTCCCAATCTCCGGAATAGTATACTTCAGGATCATCTTCAACATCTTGGAAGCTGCACAGATGTCGTGACTGCCGGCACCGGTCATGGCCTCCATGGCCACCATGATCATGTCTGCTCTCTCGTTGGGGGTCAGGTATTTCTTGAAGAACTGAAGAAAGAAGAACAACAGCTGTCTCCACAAGGCCAGCATCCACTCTGGGATAGCCCCAAAACTCTGGCCTCCTGAGAAACCAGTCAATCAGGGTGGGAGGCAGTCCCTGGCCAGCATCTGGCTATTCTATAGTGTCAGGCCAAGCTTCAGAGTGACACCCGCTCTCAAGTCCCCAGGAAGAAACAATGGCCCAGACAACACGATATAGGGGACAACACAGAGGATAGTGCAGCGTGAGAAATGCCGGTAAGGAACATGGTGAGGGCACTGAAGCCACATTAGAGAAGGCTTTACGGAGTTCACACCCAAGGAAAAAGGGGGGAAGAGTTCCAGGCAGAGGGAACAGAATATGCAAAGGCCTGCAGTGGAGAGTTCAGTCTGACTGCTGTGTCCTGCAAGGGAGCCGCTGGGCCAGGTGGCAAAGGGGGGTTGAGACGAGATAAGGCAGGACAGTTACAGCAGGGGCCAGATCACGAAGGGTCTCCGGAGTCACGTGAAGGACAAGGGGGCGTCGGCGCCACGTCTGAAGGGGAATGATATGATGAGATTCGCATTTTGGAAATAGTGCTCTGACTGGAGCGTGGGAAGTGGGATGACAGGAGCATGCTGGGAACGGGACGATCAGTAAGAGGCTGCTGCAGTGACCCAGGCGAGGGACGAGGGGCGACCGGTCAGAACAGCCGCTGGAGCACAGTGCTGGAGCACAGTGGACGGATTCCAGAGCGTTTAGGGGCAGGTGGACTGACGTGTTGAACAGGATGTGCAGAGGGAGGGAGAGGAAAGAGCCGGGCTGACGCCTGGGTCTCCAGCGGGAAGGATTTCAGGTGACCGAGCCCGGGGACACCATACCTAAGACAACCAATACACCTTCGCTGCACAAATAAAATTAAAGGTAGGCCACAAATAAAAGTACCTGGGCACAATCTGTAAGTGGAGAATAAGGTTAACTATACTTTGTTTAGGAAAAAACTGTCTCAGTGACCTCAAACCTCAATCAACTCGAGTGTGCTAGGAATTGGGCCTCACCCCTCCTGAGACCTTCAACTTTGGAGACACTCCCTGGGCTGGGGAGTCGATTCCTCTGCGGCCCCACCCAGGCCCCCCACGATCTCCTCCCCTGCCAGCACTCCCCATCCGGGCGCCCCGTGGTTACCAGCGTGATGTCCTGCATGCTGGCAAACCATTCCCCACGGAAATGCTTCTGCAAGTCCTGCAGGATGATCTCTGTCTTCGGTTTCGAACCTCCCGTCCAAAAACAACAATTAGTGGGCAGGGCCTTGACAGGGAAAAAGGAGCACGCCCTTCCTTCTTTCCCTCCGAACCTCAGAGAAGATGAAGAGAGGTAAATGGATGCAATAACATTTGCTCAACAGAACCAGAATGGGGAGAGTTCTCCAGCACCAGGCCGAGGGAGAATGCAGCTGGGGACTCGGTCTGGCCCACTCGCAGGGCCGTCCTTGTGCCCTGGCAGAACGTGGGCTGTTCCCAGCCTCCGGTGCTGAGCAAATGCCCTCAGAGGAAGTACACCCCTGTCAACTCAGGAGAAGCCAGGGTTTCGGAAACTCCTTTTGGGGACATTTGCAAATTCTCCTGGCCCCATAGTGCGTGCGGCTGTCTGTATCTTTGGTTTTCCTGAGGCACAGAGGAGTATGTCAGGACTCCTAAGTTTGTTCCCTGAGAAAGGATGTTCATTTTCCCAGTCTCATGCCTAGCAGTTGGGATGGAACAGCTGGGAAACATTGAGGGTCCAAGTGGATTCCATGGGTGGCTGCAAGCCTAGCCCCCCATTTTCCCAAGGATCGCTTAGAATCTCTTAAAAGACAGCATTGCATCAACAATGGGGCGGAGGCTGGGTGTGGTGGCTCACGCCTGTAATCCTAGCACTGTGGGAGGCCGAGGCGGGAGGATTGCTTGAGCTCATGAGTTCGAGACCAGCCTGAGCAACAGCGAGACCCCGTCTCTACTATAAATAGAAAGAAATTAGTTGGACAACTAAAAATAGAAAAAATTAGCCAGGTGTGGTGGTGCATGCCTGTAGTCCCAGCTACTCGGGAGGCTGAGGCAGGAGCATCACTTGAGCCCAGGAGTTTGAGGTTGCTGTGAGCTAGGCTGACACCACGGCACTCTAGCCCGGGCAGCAGAGTGAGACTCTGTCTCAAAAAAAAAAAAAAAAAAAAATGGTGCAGAGCTCGTCAGACATGACGGTGACAGGGGCATCATAGCATATTTACTGCAGTGCCTCGGGGTGCCTGACACGATGCAGGTCCTCAATGAACGATGCTTATTTGCTCCTGTGACTCAGGGGGTCCCCACAGCCCCAGCCACCCGTGCTCCTGTTGCTTACTTCTCTGAAGCACAAGGATTTTGAACAAGTAATGCAGTGCCTCTGATGCCTCCATGCTGATCTCCTGGTTGGGGTCCATACAGAAGAGGCCAAAGATACCCATCAGTCTCCCGCTCATCGAGAATTCTGTCATGTGCTGCCAGGAAGAGGAAACTGGTCACCTCTTCGCCATCGCTCTCCAACCTGCCCACCTCTCCACATCACACAGCACCTGCCTGTATGCATCCCCTCACCCCACCAGCTCCACGCTCTGTCCTGGCCAAGAAAAACCCTCCAAATCAGCACCCAGGGAAATGGGGCCGCCAGATCCCTGAAACACGTAAGACAGCGGGGGGCTGTGGACCCAACCCAGCTATCCAGGCCAAGGCCCCCCAACAAGGCAGAGATGTGTCCAGCCAGTTGGACTCACTTGGCCAAGGGCAAACCCAACAGACGTGTCAAGCCTCTAACCCCCTAGGAATAGAAAAGGCACCAATGCATAAAAGGGGAGGGGGTGTTCTGACCACCCACCTCCTATTACGCCTGCCACGGGATCAGTCATGTGGCCCATGTGCAGAGAAGCGGGGCCTTCCGGGTCAGCATTTCCCCCCACCCCGAGCACTCACCAACAGTCTGGGGAAGTTGCAAATAAATCTCAGCAGCCGGGAAATAGTGCCCAAGGCCCGGGTCTTTTCATGCACTTTGTCTGACAGTAATGACCAAGGTAAGATGATCTGGAAAGGGGGCAAGGAGACCCGTCAGCACCTTCTATGGCGACGCCGCTCCCTTCCGTTTCTTGACTCCACATCCCTGACTGCCAGAAAGACAAACAGGAGGGAGCTGCGGCAGGCGCCAGAGTGCACGGCCTCGCGTACTCGGCAAAGCAAGGGTGTGTTTGAGAGTCCCTGGCACTTCACCTACGACCTTCTGAGTCTCTTCCTGCAGGAAAGGTTAAAGACAGCATCGCACTGTAGAGCTAGCATGACAAAGCAGAGGCAAGGAGGGATGGGGGCGGGTGGGGAGTCGGGCTCTCTTGGCGGCATATCTGCACAAACCCTTGCCTGCTAGGCCAGGAGCAGGGGCAAAGTGGTTTCTGAAGGATGAGATTCAGAGCCATTGATTTCTGGAGATTAATAATAATAGTCCCTAAGTAAGTACTCTGAATACAATAACTCATTTTATCCTCACAACAATTCTATGAGATAGGTATTCTTATTGCTACACTAGGTCGAGATGCCAGCAAGTGGGAGAGGCCTGTGTCCTGCTTGGGGCATACCTTTGGAAAAGTGTGCCCCATATCAGAGCTGGTGAACAGTGCCCTTCAGAGCGGCCTTTCTCTCAGAGCATTAAACCCCATCGTGGACAGGCATGTGCCAAAAAAGAAAAAAGAAAAATGAACTACCACCCATACCTGACATCCAATACAAAAATTAATTCAGAATGCTCCGCTTAAACATGAATAAAAAATGAATAAAAAAGAAATAGAAATTAATTCAGAATTGATTACAGACTTAAAACCTAGAAATTATAAAAGTCTAGAAGAAAACAAGACGAAATATTTGAGACCTTAGGTAAGGCAAAAACTTCTTAGGTAAGACAACAAAAGTATGACACAAAAGAAAAAACTGATAATTTGGACTTTATCAAAATGAATACCCGCTGCTCTGCAAAAGGAACTGTTAAGAGAATAAAAAGCCACAAAATGGGACAAAACATCTGCAAATCATGTATCTGACAAAAGACTCATATCCAGAATATATAAGGAACTCTCAAAGCCCCCAAATAAGAAAACAACCCAATAAAAAATGGGCAAAAGGCCGGGTGCGGTGGCTCATGCCTGTCAGCCTAGCATTCTGGGAGGCCAAGGTGGGAGGATCGCTTGAGGTCAGGAGTTAGAGACCAGATTGAGCAAAAATGAGTCCCCATCTCTACTAAAAATAGAAAAAAAAAAAATGGGCAAAAGATTTGAACTTCATCAAAGCAGATATACAGATGGCAAATAAGTCTATGAAAAGATGCCCAGCATCATTGGTCATTAGGAAATGCAAGTTAAAACCATGAAGAAATATCACTACATCCATAATAAAAACTAAAATAAAACACTAACAATACCACATGCCAGCAGACATGCAGAGCAACTGGAACTCCCATACTTTGCTGGTGGGGATGCAAAATGATATGGCCACTTTGGAAAACACTTTGGAAGCATCCTATGAAGTTAAATATACATGTGCCAAACAATGCAGCAATCCTAATCGTGGGTATTTACCCAAGTGAAATAAAAACCTATGTTCATACAAAAGCCTGTATGCAAAGATTTATGGAAGCTTTATTTGTAATCACCCCAAATTGGAAACAACTCAGAAGTTCCTTTAATGGAAAATGGATACACAAACTGTCATCCAACTACACAATGAAAAAATAAACAAACTATCGATACGCATAACAACATGAGTGAATCTCAAACATATTATGCTAAATGAAAGAAGATAGACTTCAGAGACTATAGACTACATAATTCTATTTAGATGACATTTTAGAAAAGGTAAAATTATAGGGACAGAAAACAAATCAGACATTGCCAGGGGCTAGGGGTGGGGAAGGGGTTGACTATAAAGAGTCAGGCGGGAATTTGGGAGGATGATAGAACCACTATGTAGCTTGATGGTGGTTGTGGTTACACAACTGTATGCGTTTGTCAAAACCCATAGAAGTACACACTAAAAAGGGTGAATTATACTATATGTAAATTATGCCTTAATTTTAAAAAAATGGAAATAAATGAAAACAAAAAGGAGGGCCTTTAGGAAAACCATATAGCCCTCAAATATTTTTGCAGAAATGACCTTTCTGATACAGCTGTGCAAAGTCAGATGTGAAATAAATGATGTTGTATTATGCTGTTGTGTAATTCTGTAGAAAAAAATTATGTCTAAAATATACACACTTGATTTTTTTAAGAATTACCTCAAAGTGGCAAATATCATCTAAATTTGTTGCATATAAAAATAAGTTATTTTCATAATTTTAATTTTATTTATCTAGATGAATTGATTTCCCCCACAGTTTTCTATGAAACGTCAGAACCTGTTGAATGGTGTGCTTGCGGGCACCATTTGCGTTTGGATAATGAGAACCCTGGCAGTGGATCCCCTGAGGACTCCACCCCGACCAGGACCAGAGTTCAGCATTTCCATGCCCCACACTCCAACTCCAGCAGAACGTTTGTTATTATTGCATTTATAGTGAGGTTGCCTAAAGTGCATGAAAATGCTTCTCAACAGACATACCAGAAACGATACTTTCCAAAAGAACCATGACACTCATCCAAATATGGATAAATTTCCCTCCAGAGACAGCCCTGTCGAGGTCATTTTATAAGATACCTGGGCGATCTTGTCTCCTTATTTGTAGTCACATTTAATGTTTTATGGAAAATTACATCACCTAATTGATCACCGTCTTGTTCATGAGAGTTGGCTTCCAGTGACTCTTGGCTATTTTCCCAACTCAAGCTCACCCTCAGGTGACAGTCTGTCCTAAGTAAGAGCATTTGAAATGCTCTGAAGACAGTCACAGAAGTGCTTTGTAACGCTGTGAGTCTCCGGCAGGGATCGCATGAAGGAATATAAGAGTAGCCTGGAGGGTGAACGCCACGTCGTCTTTATCAGAGAGCAACAGCAGACCCTCTCACAGGGGAAACACCTTGAAGAAGTTAAACTCTGACATGGAGATAAGCGTTATTACTGTTACAACCTCAACGTGCCCAAGTTCTGAAGAGAAATGGGTCCACATCCTGATGGCTGTGGTTCCAAAATGCGATCCTCAGAACAGCATTCTGGGGGAGACCCAGGAATCCGTCTGCAAGCGATGCTTATGCGTGCGGGGGTGTGAGAACAGTAGTCTTTGGGCTAGAATGACGCCCAACTGTCCTAAGATCCCTTTCCTCTCAAACACACCAGAATTAACACGGGGTCTCAGGTCCCTGATTTCCACAGCCACTCACCTCCAGGAAGCTTTGCAGGATGAGCATGTTGGGGTCCATGTCGTCCATCACAAGAACTTGTAACATGTCATCTAAGGCCTGGACCGTCTGACAAGTGAGGAGACACGGAGTGTACAGGAGGACAGACTGCCGCAGTGCCAGCTCGCCTCCCCGGGGACACGCCCCCATCTGTGAGCCCCCTCCGCAGCAGGAAGGAAGTGGGGGCCAGCCCCACTCAGCCCCCCAGGTGTACCCCGTCTCATGGCAGCCACACTCCGGTCTTCCCTGGCGCTGGCCTTTCGTGGCCTCGCTGAAGACTGGGCCAGATCCAGCCCAGATTGCAGGACAAATAGTAAAATGTGGGCATTTGGCAGTTCTCCCCAGCAAAGCCAGCCCCTGTGGGACGCTCACCCTTAGAGAATCATTCTGTCAGATTCAGGAAACTTCTATTGTTAAAACTAAAAGTGCGGCCGGGCGCGGTGGCTCACGCCTGTAATCCTAGTACTCTGGAAGGCCGAGGCGGGCGGATTGTTTGAGCTCAGGAGTTCGAGACCAGCCTGAGCAAGAGCAAGACCCCGTCTCTACTAAAATTAGAAAGAAATTAATTGGACAACTAAAAATATATAGAAAAAATTAGGTGGGCATGGTGGCGCATGCCTGTAGTCCCAGCTACTCAGGAGGCTGAGGCAGAAGGATTGCTTGAGCCCAGGAGTTTGAGGTTGCTGTGAGCTAGGATGACGCCATGGCACTCTCTAGCCCGGGCAACACAGTGAGACTCTGTCTCAAAAAAAAAAAAAACTAAAAGTGCTTGGGAAGACGTGGCAGTCTACTGGACAGTTGTCCGTAGCGTCTGTGGGTTTTATTGTTAGGCTGTCTCCTGCCAAGACTGAGGCTGTCATGAGCCCCGGTGAGCAAGGACGTGGCAGTGTGGCAGCGTGGCCCACCCCTGAAGACAGCGACGATGAGAGAGCCGAGTGCCTCTGAGCATCACGTGGGCCGCGGGGCCACAGGCTCTGAGGAGGGATCAGAGCCGGAGGAGGCCCAGGGAGCTAAGAGGACATGAGATGACCCCAAAGAACGGTGGGGTTACCTGGAGGTACAGACTAGCACTCTCCTTTCGGTCCAGGCTGGGCAAGATGGGCGGCAGAGAGAACGTGCTGAAGACACACGTGTTTACCAGGTCCAGCTTCTCCGATAAGTAGAACGGTGGCTTCACCTGGCTGGGGGGAGATGTGGGCGTGACAAAGGGCTTTGGGGGTCCCCGTGGGAAGCTGGGTTATGTTTCCGGGAGACTCTGTTCTGCTGCTCTCTCTGGGTGCAGGGAACAGTGGAGACCTGAGTCCCTAAATGCTTTCCAACGGCCTCTCTGCCAGGCAAGGCCTCCCCACGCTGGGCGTCCTGACAGGCCTCCAGCAGCAAAACTGGAGGACATGCCCCCACCCCAGGACGCAGGCACATAAAGTGGCAGCCACGGGGCCCTGCCACCCACGGGCCCAAAGTCGAGTCCCCAGACCTTGCCCTTCCTCCCAACCCAAATGTTCTCAGTGCCAGAGACCCAGGGGCTCTCAGGGGGTGACACCAGGACGGAACCTCAGGGCCACGATGCAGAGCATGGCTTGCTGACGCACGTTGCTCGTCAAAACCTCGGTGGATTCCTGGAGGATGAATTTCTAGAAGGGCCAGGAAGAAACAAGAATTCCCCTCAGAGAGAAACGCCAGCCCACAGGCCTGGAACTCGTCATCCTCAGCCCCGGGTGACCAACTCCCAGAAGAGCTTGGGTGCTTCTCACCTCAGTTTTCTTGGCCAGGATGGCTTTGGAGCAGTACTCGCTCATGTCGCCCTCTGCCTGGGCGTGCACAGCGCCACTCAGGGTTCCCACGGCCCTCAGGAACTGCAGCTTGGTGGCCTCAGACTAGGACACAACGCACAGACGCCTGCCTGAGCCAGGCCTCAGCCCTGTGCTGCGCCTTCGGGGCACCTGAGCCCGCAGCCCGCACCCCACACCCGGCCCAGACTCGGATCAGCGAGCTGCGGGCAGATTGCTCGCTTGATTTTATGGGTGCAGTGTCCTCCTCCTGGGACCGGTACTGAGGTCAGCTGCCTCAGTAGTCCTTTTGGGACAGTGTGGCTAAGGGTCTACGAGGAAGAGCCTTCCTGTAGGATGGGAGCTGTAAGGCCCGTATTCCAGACACCCTGTCCAGTGGCCCAGCCACCTGGGATTTGCCCAGACCAGGAGGCAGCAACAGGCTGAATTTCTGGTGGCTTCCAAGCTAGGGCTGGCACTCAAAACCCAAGGAGTCATGAGCCCTCTTTTTTCCTACTTTCCTCCTCAGTTCTTGAAAGGGTCTAGAGAATTTCCTTACCATGTATTCTTCTTCTAGAAAGTCCAGAATGAACTGGTAGGCTTCTCTTTCTGATTGGCGCAATCCTGAAAAGGGATGTAGTTGGGAAGAGGATACCACAAGATACAAGAGAAAAGAAGAACCCAAAGCCCCCCACCCCCAACAACAACCAACAAAACCCACAAGCCACCAGCATGCGGCCCAAGAACCAACAACCACACCCGGCAGCCGGGCACCGACCACAGAACCCAAAACCAAAAGCCAAAAAGCCACCACATAGGGAAAAAACGTTCTACGTCAGGCATGGCCAAGGATAGAACTGGGAAGAGAGAGACCTTTAAGTCACTCCTAGAAGCCACAAAATCCTGGGGCTGTCCAGGGCTGGCTTTGAAACTCCTGGTTGTGAAGGGCTTGAAACCGCCAGTCAGCCTGGGACCCTCCCTTGCCGGCTGGGCTGGCGTGGCCCTCGGGGCGCAGGGTGGACACAGAGGCCGGAGGTCCGGGCCAGGAATAGAGCCCGCCGCCCCCAGCGGAGTCAGGAGGAGGCGAAGCAAGAGGATGGAGAGGGTGGCAGCGCTGGGCCCCGAGGTGACATGGGCCACGGGCCTGAGTCCAGGCTGCTGCTGCCCTTTCACAGTGCCCAGCAAGCAGAGCCCCTCGGGGCAGAGCTTGGAGCTGACGCTCGGAGACTAACACACAACGGCTCTGGCGTCAAACCGCGTGAGTTCAAAGCTCAGCCCTTCTACGTTAGCCCTGTGGCTTTCAGCAAATTGAACTCTCTCAACTCTCCTTTCCCTGTCTGTATGAAGGGGAAGATGCAGTGTCTGTTCTTGCGGGGGCTAAATGAATTAATACGTATAAGGAGTGATCTTAAGCAATTAAATTCCCCTAAGCTTCAGTTCTGTCATCTTAACGTGGGGATGATAATCACAGTATCTATTGTTGTGGGTTTAAATGAATTAGTACATGTAAAAAATCTAGAATACTTCCTGGCACATAGTAGAAAATCAATAAATTCATTCTTCAGCATACATTTATTGAACACCTACTATGTAAAAAGTATTCTAGGCACAGCAGGTAGTGAACAAAAGAGATGAAATCTTTGCTGTAGTAGAGCTTACATATCTACCCTTACATAGCCTTCTTTTCCTGTTTTGTGAGACAAAGTCTTGCTCAGGCCGGGGTGCAGTAGCACGATCATAGCTCACTGCAGCCTCAAAGCCCTGAATCCAAGTGATCCTCCTGCCTCAGCCTCCTGAGTAGCTGGGACTGCAGGCACATGCCCCTGCACTCAGCTATATTTTGTAAATTATTTTTTGTAGAGACAGAGTCTCACTATGGTACCCCAGCTGGTCTTGAACTCCTGCCCTCAAGTGATCCTCCTGCCTCAGTCTCCCAAAGTGCTGGACAGGTGTAAGCCACCACACCTGGCCTACCCTTACATATCCTTCTAAGAGAATTGTTTTTTCATTTGCCCATATAGGTTCCTATAAATACATAAACAGAGGTCAAAAAAACATCTCATTGACTGAATTTGAGTGGGCCTAAAGGACATGAGGAGAAGCCTTTCATACATCTGAAGAAAGAGCATTCTAAGCCAAGGGAACAGCAAATGCAAAGGTCCTGGGGCAGGATCTTGCCTACTGTGCTTGAAGAACAGGAGGTAAGTCTGGGTGCCTAGAGTGGGAGGAGCAGAGGAAGAGTGGTGGGAGAAGAAAGTAGAGCAGCGATGGGACAGATCTTGAGGGTGTCGTAGTTTATTGTAAGGCCTTTGGCCTTGGGGATGGGAGTCCTGGGCCGGTTTTGAATCAAAGTGGTCTGACTTTGTTTAACAATATCCCTCTGTCTGTTCAGCTGAGAGTAGATCAGGAGTGGAAGCGGAGAGTGACATGGGGTGTGGGCAGAAGCAAAGACACCAACTGGGAGGCCGTGACGATAATGCAGAGGAGAGATGATGGTGGCTCACACCAGGGAAGGTTGTTAGTAGGGAGCGATCAGATTCCATATCTATTCTGAAGGTAGAGACAATGGAATTAGCTGACGGACTAGATGTGAGTATGAGAGGAAGACAGAAGTCAGGCTTTTGGGCCAGAGACACTGGAAGGATTGAGTTGCCATTAGTTGATATGAGGGGCAGATTTGGGGTTGGTAGTAAAGTCAGAAGTTCCATCCCGAATATGTTAATTTTGAGATGTCACTAGGCATCCAAGCGGAGGTACCAATAGGCAGCGGGATGTAAGAGCCGGGAGCTCAGGGGCTGCAGGTCTGGGCTGCAGAGGTCGATTGGTTGTTGGCAGGCAGGTGGGATGTAAAGATCTGCTCTCCTGAACAGGTGTCAGCTAGGTGCGGTGTCCCTCAGAGTCTCGGACACCGTCTTGTTCCTGGCCCAGCTCCAGGCGTACCAGGGAGGCAGGCCTGAACAGCGACAGGCGTGCAGAGACTAGAGAGGGGCAGTCAGAGGCAGGCAGACTTGTGCCCACTACGGGACACCTCAAGCAAGAGGTGGGCAGTCACCCACTTCCGAGCCACTGCAGTCAGTTGAGAAACAGAACCAACTGCTCACCCGATAAGTTTGGCTTCCGAGAGACGTGGTACAGCGACGAGTCAAAGGTCACTCTGTTTGGTTTTTGCTTGTTAGGATGTGGATTCATCTGCACACCGGAGGCAGCAGCCTGCAGCTGGCGATGAGAACGGTCCTTCCAGGGGAAGCAGCCTCTCCACTCGAGCGGGCGCTGCAGGAGGCAGGCCCCGGCCGTTTAGGAGAAAAGGAGTGGGCGGAGCAGGGCCGGTGCCGGGCCCGCTGCCGGCTTCCCCTTTCCTCCCCTTGGGAAGACACGGGACTCTCTGACGCGCCCTGATCCATCCTGACTTGCTGGGGTCTTCCCTCCACGGGTCTCCCTGCGCGGAAATCTCAGACTCACAGGCGGGCTGCAGGGTCACCGCGTCCACCCCTCTGCGTCTGGGCCAAATTGCCTCCGACAGTTTTCTTGCTAAGATCCTGAAGCACTCTCTTCCCAGAGGCTTCTGGCCCCACTCCCTAATTCACAACCCCACTTCCGCCCTACAGCAGGGGAGCTCAGCGCCCCCACGTTTGCCCCCCAGACATGGCCCAGGGACGCCTGCTCGGGGACCAGGTAGAAACTGCTGCCAGACCAGGTTCTCTCGCTGCATTGCACTTTGGGACCCCAAACTGGTGCACCCTGTCGCTCACTGCTCTGAGGAGAGCCTGCTCTGCACCCCCTCTTCTCTTCTTGCATCATCCTCCTCTTAGCCGGTCTCTGTCTGTCCCACTGCAGGAGCTGCCTCCTCAGACAGGTCCGCCCCGGGAACTCGCCTGCACCCAGCCGAGGTTTCCCTGGGCCCAGAGTCAAGGGCCCCGTTCCCCAGAAGCCAAAGTTAGGCCAAGGTGTCCAGGTCTGGGATCAGGACACCCACAACTTCTCCAGAGACCTGGACCCGGCTCCCCTCCCAGCCCAGCCCCCAGTGCAGCACCCCCAGACCCAGGCGAGCCAGGCCCCTGAGCCCGGAGTCCCACGGTCCCCGGGGCAGAGCTGGGGCCACCCCTTCCGAGCCACCCGCCCGAGCCCTTCATGCCCGCCCTGCCTCGTCCTAGGCTGTGGAGGGGGACGGGCGGGCAGGGACCCCTTTACCTGACACACGGCGGCGCCGCAGACCCAGGGCACAGGCTTCTCCGGCACTGCGGCTCCAGGGGGCGCTGCGCTCCTGGGCCCTGGAGCGGCCCCTGCAGGGCAGGCAGGGAAGTGGTCCAAGTCGGGGGTGCTCCCCCACCCCCATCCCCGTGCATCTGCAAGGGAGCAGAGGGCACCCTTGCCCTCCTCCTCACCACCGGGAGGAAGGGCCCCAGTTTCCCAGCTATGGGGAAGGGGCTGTTTCTCACGAGTCTCGGCTCTGGGCAGTCAAGAGCTCCAGGAACAGGCTTGGGGGAGCTGGAGATGCTTAGCCACACCCCACGCCCATCTCTGCCCACTGCCTAGCCTGGCCCAGCCAGTCCCGGCCTTTCCTGGGGAGGCGACTCCTAGAGCCCAGCTCCGGGGGCCCAGGAAGAGACCTTAGGAGCTTTGACAGGGGTAGTGCTTGCCTCCATCCTGTCAGGAAGCAGAGAATCTGAGATCCTCCCTCTAGCACCCCGCCCCTCCCACTGGCTCCCCAGGGACCTGCCCAGACCGGCTGGAGAGGCCAGGCAACTTGGCCCCCTTGGGCGGGCAGCCGGAGGGGCTGGGCACAGCCTCTGCTCAGAAAACTTGGCACCAAAAAACCCTTTATCCTCAGTTCAGCCAATCACAAAGAACAGACTTTATTGAAGTATTTTACATTAATACCCACACAGTTCCAGCCCTGCAGCCGAGGACACGGCCACTTTGCAACTGCATTAGGCGTTATATAGGACCAATAAGTTAATATCAGGGACACTCGGGTGTGGGGGAGGGGCCGGTGCTCAGAAGGCTCCTGGCTCAGCCCTAGAAGTTCTGGGCTGCAGGGAGGACGCTGAGGGGGTGGGGGATGGACAGCTGTACACTGGGGAGAGGGGCTTGGAGACAAACTGCAAGAGAACAGCATCCAAAGTAGGGCATTCAAATATAACGGGGGACAGGGTCAGCGCAAAAGGTGGTGACTGCCGCAGGATGTGGTAAGAACACAAAATGCCAGATGCGTCCCCTCGGTCTCCCCTCTCCTCCCCCAGATTCCTCTGACAGGCTATCTTGGTTCTTCCCTTGGTCCCCTTGTGCAATCGGCCACGCCACTTTCTTTCCAGCAGGGAGAAACGTGCCTCCTTTGTGTCAGGCATCAAAGTTCCTGGAGCCTTCTGCTACATTCGGTCTCTGCTGCGGTTCGGGGCGCTTGGATGCGAGGAGTTCCGCACAGGCAAAGGCAGAACTCAGCTCTCCCGACCCCTCCTAGCCTCAACTCGGTTGCTTTCTCGCTGAAGCAGGATCCCTACCTGGGCATCTGACTCGAAAGCCAAGAAGGCTGCAGGATGAGAACCCAGGGCCTGTGGGCAGTCTTAGCACAGGCAGCCTCCAGGCTTGCCCCCGGCCCGCATCTGAGACAATTCAATAATGCCTTGAGGAAAATTCAGCATCTCGTGAGGGCTCGGGAGTGAATATGCCCACGTTTCTATAAATAAGGACTTTCTCTGAGCAGAAGCATAGTTTTGAGGGATGTAGGAACAGTGACCTCCTCCCCCACCCCCAGAAAATGCCACAAACGTGGTGCCTTTCCAAACATACTTGTAAGGCGTTGGTTTTTAGGACTATAATGAAAAGATGTTAGTAGTGGAACTGCAAGCCCTTGAAATGCCCAGTGGTGGCTGTCCAGGGTGAGCTGCTGTCCCCTAACCAACACAGGCCAGCCAGACCCCCTGACGCTACAATCTGGTGAAGCCTCCAACGCAAGACTCAGAGGTCTGGGGGATGCAGGGCATAGGGAGGGTACAGTGATTGGACCCCTAAAGGGGATTTCTGGGGTCAGGAAACTAGCAAGGACCAGGAAGACAACACTCCGTGAGGATGTACTGAACTGTATCCTACCACTTGGTGTGTGCATCACAGAGCACATTATAAAGGGAGAAGGAGATTCTCCCCCAGCCCAGGCTGCGGTACCCAGAGACCTGGGAATTGGAGGACAGTTTTGTGCACGAGTGTGTGCCACATCCAGCCTCCAGCAATAGTGGGACAAAAGCACCAGGGGCTGTTCTACAGGGAAGTTCTCAGAACCAGAGCGCAGAGCCTTTGAGGAATCCCCGAGGTGCCCTCTCTGCTCGGAGCATGCCCCGCCACGTATCTTGCATAAGGCGACAAATGCTGTCAGTCGGATGAGAAAGGCCTTTCGTCCACTAGGCCAGAGTCTGGGTGGTAACACATAATCATATGACAGGGATCTTGAGGACAAATGACAAATATTAATATAAATCCTCAGGTCAGGGCTTCTGGAAAAAACTTGTGTAAAAAAAAATAAAAGCGCTCAGCTCCAGGTCATCGGCCTGCGATGGGGGTGGGGGAGCTGAAGAAGGCACTCGGGTGGGGGGTCTCAGCCCAGCCCCACTATGAAAGTCTTTTTTGGGGAAGAGGCTGAGGCATCCAGAGCATCGTTACACCTGGCCCGGGTTACACCTGGCTGATGATCTCTCCGTTCTCAGGTACAAAGACTTGCACAGGGGCCCCCTCGGGTGATCTCCGGAGCACACACACTGTGGGCACCTGCCGGGGGGGAAGAAAGGACGGGTGGGTGAGTGAACCAGGTAGAAATCTCGAGGCAGCAAGCCCAGTTACACCATCTTTACCCCTTACGGACACTGGCAGCAGCAGCACAGCCCTGGCACTCAGCACCCCGTCCCCAGGGACCACCCTTTATCCATTTTCCACTCCAGGTTCCTTTGGGGTGTGACAGGCACCCTGACCTCTTCCTCCCCTACTTCTCCTGGGCTCACTGCTCATCACCCTCCCTTTCTGGCACGTTAGGATGGGCCGGGCTGGGCCAAGGACAGGTCCAAGCTCGCAGGAAGAGAAAAACACGTCAGCTGGAGGGTGCGGCCTGGGACTAGGGCCAGGGTGCTGCCAGGCCAGGATGCCAGCTGCAGCCCAAAGAACTGTGGGTGGGGGAGGGACATGCAGCTGGGCCTGCTCGGAATCTGGGGTCTCAAAGCAGCAGCTTGTTAGTAACTTCTGGAGCACATCCCCTGCAGAGCCCTCCGTAGCAGGGAGAAAGAATAAAGAAAGGATTCATGTGCGTCAGCTCCACTTTGAGAATGAAGAAACTGAGTCCAAAGAAACCAAGGCTGCCACCCCTGCCCAGTGTCAGGGCGCTCTATCCTACGTACTACCACCAACCTGGCTCCTGGCCTCTGGGGGCCCCACATGGTAATAGTATCACTTATCTAGTGCCTACGAGGCATTGCTCTAATCATTTCAGCCTCTTAACAGCCCCAGGACATGAGTACTTCACTACTTCCATTGCACAGAGGGGAAAAGAGCAGACTCAAAGGGGTTATGCAACTTGCCCAATCGCAGCGCTTGTAAGTGGCAGGGCTGGGATGGGAATCTGCCAGTCTAGCTGAGGGTCCATGCTCTTAGCTGTGCCACCCCGCTTCTCAGCTTGGTGCTGTGGGTGACAGGGAGGAAGCTGATGGACCAGCAATCACAGGTTCTGGCTGCTGCAAACACATTTCCAGACTCTGCCTCTGTCCTGGTCCCTCGAGTCAGGAAACTAACGGGGTTAATTTGGATTGCACTTTTGATTAGGAAGTTTTATCTGCTTTGTGAAACGTCTGTGCAGCCATTAGGGGAAAAAAAGCCTCAGCCATCTGCAAGGATCATGCCCACCCGTGCACGTGCTCTGGAGCTAGGCACGCAGGCAAATGAGGAGCGCCCCAGAGAAGTCAGGAGTGCCTTCCAACGCCAAGGGAAAATGATGTGGGGGCCTGTTCCTCCTAGCTGGGGATCACCTGGCCACCAGGCTGCTGGTTTGATGCCTTTCTCCACTCGGACCTGCTATTAAATGTAATTGCAGCCCCTCCCCAGCGAGACACGCCGCCTGCCTGGCCCCGGGGTCCCTCCAGAGCAGCCGCACCTGTGTCCGGGGCCCCAGCGCTCGGCCGAAGCCCTCCCTCCCGGGGGGCAGGCTTCGCACGCGGAAGGCCCCCTGGCGGTCCAGCGAGTGGGGGCGCGCGCTCCGGAGGCGAGCCCGCTCGTGCCACCACTTGAGCTCCTCGGAGACGGCGGCCTTGCTGAGCGCGCGGCCCGTGGCGCTGTCCTTCAGCGAGGGCGTGCGCACCACGCGGCTGTGCGCCGCCACCAGGCGCTGGTAGCGCAGCGGCGCGCCCTCCTCCGCGTAGGCCGGGCCCGGGGCCGCGCGGCACAGCTCCCACTCGCCCGGCGGCAGGTGGCCCTCGGCCACCACCACGTAGCGCCCCGCGGGGAAGTAGCCGGGGGGCAGCAGCAGCTTGGGGTAGTGGGCGGCCAGCTCCCTGCTGCCCGGGCCCCAGGGCCCGCGGTGGCGAGGGGGCTCGGGTGGCGAGAGAGGCCGCAGGAAGGAGATGTCGGGGCTGCTGCTGCCCGGCGAGGTGGGGTGCGAGATGCTGGACACGTCAGAGCCGCTGTCCTCCGAGCAGGAGTGGCAGGCAGCCGGGGGCAGCGGGGGCTTGGTGGGCGGGAAGCAGGAGTCCGGCACGGTCACCGTGTAGTGGGTGGGGCGGCGGCGGGGAAAGGCGCTGCGACCGCGGGCCTCTGGACCCGCCCGGAAGGACTCCACCCTGAAGGGAGAAGGAGAGACGGAGTGTGGGGGGACGCAGTTAAAACAGGTGCGGCCGACGCTCCGCCTCGGGGCCCAGGCGTGGCACCCGCGCAGGGTCCTAGGCCAAACCTGCAAAGCAAACCAAGTCCCCACCCCCTCCCAGCCCCGCTGGTCTGGAGCGTGGGTCCAGCGCATCCCCCTCTGCCGCAAACGCCTCCCTGCTCGATTCGCGGTTCCCGTGCGCCACGCTACGTCAGCGCCGCGCAGCCGCCGCCAGTTTGGGTGCGCCGCGCCCGGGGGCGTTTCATCTGCAGAGTCCAGTCCGGTAGACGCCGCGGGTCCAACCTGTGAAAGCCGTCGCGGTACCCAGGGCACTCACGCAGCCGGGAACCAGCCGGGCTGGAATCCAGCCCTGGCTCTGCTCCTACTTCCAGGTACAGGGCCGTGTCTGCCGTTTTCTAATTTGTACAAAGCGTTGTTGATAAAATGGCCGTGGTAGCATGTAAAATATAAAATGCATTGCTTTTCTTGAGCGCGGTTGCCCCAAACTGCACGCAGCCCAGCGCTGCCTGACCCGCAAATTGAAGCTGCCAGAAGAATCCGGCCATGCTTCGATGGTGCCCCAGACCCTGCGTGGTGTGGCCACTACTGCCTGTCATAACGCAGCCACCGAAACTATTACCAAGTAGCAGGTGACGGGGAAAGTATCACACAGTCGATTCTCATTACTTGCAGATTCAGTATTTGTGAATTTGCCTAATTGCTAGAATTTATTTGTAATTTGCTAATCAATATACGCCGTGCTTTCAGGGTCATTCTCGAACATTCACAGCACAACAAAAAAAATTGAGCCACTATAAGCGCACATTCCCAGCTAAGGTCAACCAAGGCTGTGCTCTCTCCGCCTTCTTGTTTCAGCTTTCATACTGCAAACAAGTGTTCTCTTTCTGGTGCCTTTATTTAGTGTGTTTAGGCATTTTTTGCTTTTGGTTGGTGATTTTGCTGTTTAAAATAGCCCCAGACTTGGTGCCGAAGTGCTGGCTAGTGTTTCTAATAGGGAGCGGCCGTGATGCGCCCTAGAGAGACAGATGCGCGCTGGATAAACTGCACCCAGGCCTGACTTACCGTGCCCCCGGCTGTGAGTTTAATGTTAACGAATCAATTATTAAATAAGTTGTCTTTAAGCAGAAACTCGTATAAAACAAGGTTATGTGTTGATTAGTTGATGAAAAATGTTGTGTCCAAAGGCTCCCAGGAATCTAACCTTGTATTTCCCCACAGGGCAAAGGTTAAGTATTTGCTAATTCAATGCTTGCGATTTTTTAGGACATAAATACCACAGATAATGAGAATTGACTATACGTCAATTGAAAAGTGAATTGCCTAATGTTAGTGACCAAGAATAATCTATTAGCACAAGAAAACACAGCAAGGGAAGAAAACTGAAATCAAGTTATGCAAAAAGACAAAAATGGAACCTCTGGAAGAAAACAACTTGCTTCACGGATAGCCTCTGGCTTTGCTGACTGTGGCACGACCTCTTTCAAGAGGCACCCCAAGAAGGGCTTCCAAGAGAAGCCAAGGCACTAGCCATGTGTCACCTAGGGGTGCCCCACCTACCTGTACCCAAGAAGCTACCAATGTCCAGCAATAAGCTCTGGATGGGGGTCCACCCTGCATCTCTGGGGGGGGACTATGTCTTACCTCAGAGACTGTGACTGGCCCCTCCTCCCCTGCATCTCGGGGGTGGCCGGGGCGCTGGTGCGGCCCTGCCGCTGTCCGGGAGCACCACGGCTGGGCACCATTTGGTAGGGCGCAGGCTCCAGCAGCCACGGGCTGGAGGTGCTGGGCCCGTCCTGCGGTGTGGTGGCTGGGCTGCTGCAACGGGATTGGAGACAGGTCAGGGGCAGGAATGCCTCCATTCAGGGGCTCAGGAAGGACAGAAGAATGGGACCGCGGTGGAAGGGGGCCCCTAAGTTAGTGGTGTAAACCGCCAGGACCTTGGGGAGCTGCCAGAGCTCACACCTCCGCCATGACACAGCTGCAGGAGTGGTCGCCCCGCCTTTCCCCTTTCCACCCGCCCGCCTGCGGCCCCCAGCACACTGCCCACCTGCTCGCAGCCCTCCCTTCCTCCCTTCGTCCCCCGCTGACCTGGACTCGCTGCAGGGCTCGGAAGACTTCCTGGGCTTCTCGTAGGGGTGGTCCAGGCTGGTCTCCTTCCAGGGGCTGTTCTGGATCGGGGCTCGCTCCAGGCCCCCCGGCTCGGGCCCTGCTGGCTGCAGCCCCTCGAGGCTTTGGGGTGGGAGAGGCCGGGAAGGTGGGGCTGGGGACTCGGGGGGAGGTTTTGGCACTTGGGATTCCTCTGCGGGGGTAAAAGAAATTTGATAAGGGCAGAGGCTGGGGGAACCGGCCCGGCAAGAACCTCCACAACCACAGCCCAGTCTCGCTCTCGCTCCCGTGGCTGGCTGGTCCGGCTGCTCCGGGCCATGGCCCCAGCCCCAGACGCTCCATGTCTTCTTCTCCTTTGGGACTGACTCCTTCCCTCACAGCCCTACTTTATCCCTTCCTCCTTCAAGAAGCCTCCCCAGATTGGCTCTCCTTGGCTCCCATCACTCTGCTTTCCAGCCTTTGCTCCTGGTGCCCTGTCTGCAGTGAGCCTTTTGCTCGCCTGTTTTCTTGTTCCTGCCAAGCCCATGTGCCCTATTTCCTTATTGGCCTGGGCAGTCCCCTGGGCAGAACTGCACCACCTTCTTGGTCCACCTTGACCCTGGTGTCCCCAGGGTTTGTAAACAGGGCCCTTAATCTACAGACTCGTGTTCCCTCCCCCAGTGCTCCCCTCTTTTGAAAAAGGGCAATAATTGTGGGCAGATTAATCTTTAGCTCTGACCAGAGCATCTTAAAATGAAGCCCCAGGGTGAAGAGGGCCACCTGGGGTTGACAGGCTCTGCTGGAGTTCACCTTTCTCTTCCCTGTCAAAATGAGGAGCTTCTAGAATGAGAGATGGTCAGTATCCCGCCCCCACAACTGAGCAGGTGCAGGGGCACTTGGAAACCGCCATGAGGTCTCAGCGGGGACCCAAGCCTGGCACCCTTTCCCTCACTGGCTCACTAAAAGCTCACTCCCCCACTGACGTCCTCACCAGCAGACTCTGCCAAAGCCCCAAGGTCTCAAAGTGGGAGCCCAGCCTTGACAATAGTCCCCAAACTGTCCCTCTCACCTTCCTCCAGGAGTAGCCCATCTGACAGGGAGCTGTCATCGGAGGCGCTGAGCTCTGGGAAAGGCAGAAGGGAGAGAAGAGAAGCAAGTGAGGAGATTAACCCATAGAATGAGTAACCAGCAGTGCTGAGCAGCCCAGGCCAGATCAAGGACAACGAAAATGTCAGCAGATACCCACCGTGCGCTAAACACTGTAGTGGGTATGAATTTATTTCTCAGAAGTTAAGAAAACCCAGAAGTCAGGGGCTAGGAGACAGGAAACTTGATTGAATCCTGGATGTCATTAGCTTTGCAGCCTCGAGTAAACCACTTCAACGCTCTAAACCGCAGTTTCCCTACATGTCAAAAACAAAAAGCCAAGGCTTCCTCCGGCAGTGGGAGGGAAAGGCCAAGAGCCATTCGGAAGGCCCTTGGGATGAAAAGAATTTCGCTAACTTTTCCATAGTCTTCTGGCATCACAAACACAATTGAACTCAAGGATCCCAGATCTGAGAACTCCTGCATCACCAGCAACAAGAGCGGCGTGAGGCAGGAATTCGAGCTGTGGGATCGTGAGGCCGGTTTAAGTTAGGGTCAGGCCAGCCAGCCCTAGGGAAAGTTCTTCAAGTGGTGATCACGGCAAGTCACCCGAAGGAAGTGGAGTGTGGCATTTCTGCGTGGTACAGCAGCAGCTGCCACCCAGGAAATCACAGGGAACTTATTTTTGCCATTGCCCTGGAACAAACTTAAGCCTCCAGATATTGCAAATAAGACTGATGTGGCCCGGCTGGAGCTCACAAGGCATTTTCAACTGTGTTTGGGAACAAAGAGGAGGAAAAACTAATAATTGCTAATATTTCTACCATGCCAACACTTTTCTAAACACAGCATTTTATATATATTAATTCATGTCATCCTCATAACAACCATGTGAGGCAGATCTTATCATCCCCATGTGATGGTTGAGGAAACTGCGTCTCAAGACTTGAGTAACGCGGTTTAGGTCAATCCACCAAAAGGCGGTTGAGTCAGAATTCACACCTAGACAGTCGAGTCTGTGCTTTTAACCACAGCCCTTCCCCGGCCTTCCTGTTAGCTGGCATCGAATGCACAGGTCATCACCCAGAAAGTTTCAAGAAAAGCAGAAAGTTCCAACCATCGTGAAATCCCTCACGACAGGGGTTGGCAAACCACGGCCCGCGGGCTAAATCCAGTTCCATGGCCGTTTTCGCAAAGCCCTCCTGGAACCCAGCTATGGATTTGTTTATGCAACGTCTGGCTAAAATACATACTACCTGGCCCTTTACAGAAAAGTTTGTCAGCCTTTGCTCCATGACTTAAATGACATAATAAAAGTTCACGCAGAGCAGGTCTTTGTGGGCCAGACAGTGCCAGGAGCTGGGCCCACCCAGGCTTTGCAGGCCTACAGCCAGCCTTGGGGCTGTTAAGAAGACACCCTCTTACTAAATTCCGGCTCCCTGCCTCTCATCTTTTACAAAAACCTGGAGAATAAAGATTTCTTATTTTTCACAAGCATCAAGTTGGAGAAACTGTGGAGCAACACCATTCACGCGGGTAGTGCAGCCAGGGTTAGGGTTGTGTGTTTTGGTTTGGCTGTATGATCTGGGAGGGAAGACATCATTCCCAGTCACCCTAATCTTCGTAAAAACAAGCAGATCAGGGTTTCATAGGCCCACAGGTGCAATGTGAGGAAGGGAGTCTGGACTGGAGACACATTGCACAGGGGGTGGGTGGAGAGGCACACTGACCTGCCACCCGAGGGGTTCCTGACGGCTGCTCACTGTCTCAGCCACTGTCCCGACCCAGCCTGCAACAGCAGCAGGACACCCAGGTGGGCAGGGAACAAGATCAAACTCACAAACTCGAGCCTTCTCAAAGGCTGTGCTGTCCAACACGGTAGCCACTAGCCACAGATAGCTATTTTCATTAAAATTAAATAAAACTTAAAAGTCAGTTCCTCAGTCACACTAGGCACAATTCAATGCTCAATAGCCACACGCAGCTAGTGGCTTCCGTACTGGGCAGCACGGATACAGAACACTTAGCTCATCGTGGAAATGCTATCAGAGCGCTGCTACGCGCCAGTGCCGCCGATCGGCAAGCCCACACTAAGCGCCACTGTGTTACAGAGGCGCGTGCTATGCTGGGCAGCTCTCCCCAAGTCCACCCTAGTAATTAGTTCCACACCTGGCTGCTCCCCGCCCTGCACGGTGCTAATCCGTCTCCCGGCACAGTTACTCTCCCAAATCGAATAGCCCCGTGCGGAGACCAAGGGGCATGGGGGTTTTGGCTTTAGGTTTTTCTTTTTTTCTGATTGTTTGGTTTTTTTTTTCCCCTCTCTTTTTAAATCGAAACACCTTTCAGCTCCTAATTAATTATTAATCCCTCTTTACTTCCTTCTTTCTGGGAGAATACAGCTGGGCAGAGGAGCCACAAAACAGGAATTACTTGTCTAAAACTGTCCCCTTCTGTGCTCCCAAGGTAGGACATTAGGTCCCAGGGCCTGAGGTGGAAGAGCAGGGGGGTCCTTACGGCTGATCTGGGAAAGTCAGCAACTGCGCCAGGTGTTTCCTCTCCTCGTCTCTGTCTTCACCTGGGCTGAGTGCCCTGAGAAGGTTTCAGAACCTCAGCCTCCTGCCTCCCACAGAGGGTTAAGCCAGAGCCCCAGGCGTGTCCTGGCCTGTTCCGCTCTTCCAACAAGTAGCGTCATCGGTCATCATGGCGGGAGCAGAGACAGACACCCCTCCACCATCCCAGTCATGGGCAGAGCTCCCAGCAACCTCGGCACTGGTGGGCAAGGGAGGCCACGGAGCAGTGTGAGGCTGGAGAGGGGCCCAGGAGGGGCCAGGACCAACTGGGACGGGGCACGTCTCTCCACCCCGACAGCTCCCTACAAGCACAGAGCCAGTTGGCTCTTGGGGACTTTCATGCCCAAGCCAGCAGCTGCCTTTCAAGAGAAGGTCAAGTCCTGAGAGCTGAGTAAAGATGGAGAACTGTTCCACGAGAGCCTCGCAGACCAGGAGCGTGGTTGTGCAGCAAAGCCGGGGCCATCAGAGAAGTCTGGCCACCACCCCGGGGTCAGCGCCACTGCCTTCTGTGTTTACAGGGTCAACTGTCACGTGTAGACACTGCCTCCTTTCTCATCTAGTCTCGACTGCTGGAGGTAACCTGGGTGACGTCTTGTCACACACTTTCTACCCTAAATTAGAGGCCCTGGGTGGGAACAGGGACTCCTGAGACCTGTGCTGAGATAACTGCCTGCCCGACGCACGGGCCGTGGGGCACAGGGAGGGACGGGGAAGAGCCTTCAGGCTTCCGTGCGTGTGCTCCCAGCCAGGGGAGGAGAGCGGTCTGGGCAAAACCCCAACCTGACGAGCCTGAGAATGTGACAGAAGCAGCCGCTCTCCAAGCGAAGGCCCCTGAATCCAGTTCTGCCCCAGGGCCACCCCCCAGTCCCTACTCATCCCTCAGATGCAGCCAGGGAGGCCTGAGACCCGCGTGAGATCGGGGCGGGGGGGCGGCTGAACTGCGGCATGATGCGGTGGGGATGGGGCTGCAAGTCCTGACCTGACAAGCTGGATTTGGGTTGGGGACAAAAGAAAAATGGTCACACCTAAGGGCTTGGAACCATCTGACGGAAGCTAACTCGGGCTGGACACACTGGCGTCATGAGGCTGGCCCTGGGCGTTGACGGCTCCCTAGGTGCCCAGGGCTGAGGGACAGAACCACAGGCACAGCAAGGGCAGGGAGCAGACGGGAAGGATCCCGCTCTGGGCCAGGTGGTCGTAGACGCTCAAGGGAGTGGGGTGCTGCAGGATTTCAGCCTCAACGTCCGGCGAGTAGCTGTGGGCCTGAAACAATTCAGCGAGCAGCTCCGTGTCGCAACGGTTCCCCCAGTGCTGCCCCGGCCAGGGGAAAGCAGCGGCCCAGACCTCGGGCTCGCCGGAGCCGCACACGGCCTGACCCAGGCAAGCCGCGGCCCTTGGGCCTGGAGAGCGGAGGGCAGGCCTGGCTACTCCGCTTGCACAAACCCTTGCATTGAGCTCGGGGCCAGCTCGGGGAACGCCTTCTGTCTAGGACGCCTTCCTGAAGGCGGTGTCTTTCGGGGAGGATGCGGAAGGAAGGAGAGGCTGTTTCCAGAGATAGGAGAGAGGGTCTCATAGGGTGGAGAAGGCTTGCAGGTGTCGCAGAGGGTCCAGGTGGACCCGGGAAGCAGGTTGGCCCGGCTGGAGCCCAGGCGGAGCTCTGAGCACAGTGCTGGGCAGGCGGGCGGCGCTAACCAAGTGCGAAGGCAGGGACAGGCTGTGCCCCATCCCACACAAGCTCGGATGAGGCAGGCTCCGCCCAGGCCGGGGGCAGCCGGCTCACCTTGGCCCAGGGGCAGCACGGTGGCCGGAGGGGGCTCGCTGCTGCGCCGCCGCTCGCCCAGGCAGCGCTGGAGCTCCCGCAGCTTCTTCTCCTCCTGCAGCGCCGCGTGCTTCCGCTGCCGCCGCGCCTGCCGGCTCAGGGGCTCCTCCAGGCACAGCCGCCGGGCCGCCTCGGTGATCTGCAGCTGCAGGGCCAGCTGGCGCTCCAGGCTGCTCAGGGCGTCCTGAGGGAGGGCACGCGAGTGAGGCCTGGGACAGGCAGGGGCTGGGGGGCCCAGAGGACAGAGAGCAGCCCCACCCCGGTGCTGTGCCCCGGCCCTGGCGCGAGGACAGAGGAGGGGCAGACAGCAGCACCCACCGACACCAGCAGAGGGTGGAGGGTGGGAGGGGCCCAGGAGCAAACTTGTGGCCTGAAAAGCGAGCACAGGCACCGCCCACCAGCCTGCCTGCCGAACCGGGCAGGCGGGAACCCGGTGGCACACTTTCCCTCCTGACCCTAAAGGTTGGGCAGGCCAGCCCGTGGGAAACTGCTGCCACTCATGCCACGGGGAAGGGCCCCTGGAGCCCCAGCCGCCGCGCCTCCTTCGTCCTGTGCTGAGAAGGAGGAGGCCGGCGCTAGGGGCCGGAGCGACCTGTCCGAACGGGCCGCCGCCTCTCTGGGTTGCTGGCTGGCGCTCCTAACTGATCTTCTGCCCACTGGAGCCAAACCCAGTGTCCTGCCCTGAGCCCCCGGCTCTCTCCGTCCCTGTGGCGGCGCACCTTCCCACGGCCACTCGGGGCGGGCCCCTCGCCGACACGGAGCCAGGCACGCCCCCGGCGTGAAGGGGTCCTGCGTCCCCGCGATCGACCTTTGGGGAATGAGGGGCGCCCTCAGCTTCCGGAAGTTGCTCACCTCTCTGTGCAAGGCCCACTCGTCCAGCTTGTAAGCTGCTCCGATCCTGCGGCGGACCTTGGGGGCCTTTTCCCCTGGCTTGAGGGGATACTCTGGCGGCAAGCTGCCCGTCAGCTCCTGGGGTGGAAGCAGAGTCAAGTCCGGCCCTCTCCGCCCGCCCGGCCTCGGCCAACCAAGAGGAGCCCGTCCACGGGCCCCTGCGCGGCGTGCGCCTGCCTTCCAGGGGGCTCCAGGACGACCCCCCCACCCCATGAGCCACGGTTGTCTCATCCCATCTTAGGGCCTGCTCTGCACTCCCTCCCCGTCCCCTCCAACCTCATTCTGATCACTTCCTCCAGAGGGCTTCGCCCACCCTGCCACAGTTCCGCAGTGCACCGACATGGGCACGGTCCCCCTGCAGCCCCTCACCCCCCGGGCCTGGGCGTGACCCAGGTCTCACTCTCCCCTGTCCAGTGCCCAGGTCCAGCGATGCCTCAGAGGGACTCTGGGCCCCAGACCCCGGGCTGATTTCCAGAATGCCCTCGAGAGTGGGGTTCCCTCCCCGCAGCCCCCACACCGTGGCTCTCACCGCCTCCCTCAGGCAGAGTCTCCTCAGCTCCTCCAGGCAGGCCTCCAGCCGGGCCTCCAGGGCCCTCTGCTGCTTACGAACCGCGTGGGTCAGCTCCTTCATCGGGGACACCGGGCTGTCGGGGCCTGCGGGAGGGTGGCGGGGGGCACACACTCAGGGACACTGAGGTGGGAGACTCGCTTGGACACGTGTCGACCACCCTTGGGGAGTGCACACACATGCACACACACACACACGCCTCGGCTTTCTTGTCCTCCGTCAAGACGAGGCCAGACTAGGCCCACAAGCTCAGGCTGACCAGAGGGGCAGGGTCTACACTGGCCAGATGAGATTTCAATTTCTTAGTAATCACTGGGGCTAAAGTTGAACATTACGGATCCTTCTTGCAGATAGAACCGAAACTCCAGGCCAGGCCCCTCCAGGGAAGAAAACTCTAGGTGCCCCTGAGGCTCCAGCCCTTCAGCACCTCAGCACCCTCCTCCCCCACCCCGGGCAGTCCCAGCCTGGCCAGCCCCACCCACGACTCCGGAGTCAGGGCTGGCGGCCGGGGTGGTGGGAGTTCCCCAGACGCTCACCTGACTGCAGGATGATGCCGCTGTCGCTGTCGCTGACTTCATCCTTACTCTCCATGGCGGACGTCTGGGAGGAGGGGGCACAGAGCAGGAAGGGGGGACACGGCGCCCAAGCTGGGCCAGGATGTGGAGGTAGCCTGGAGTTTCCCCAGCTTTGAAGAGAAAAGAGAAGAACAAAAAAGCTGTATGTGAACTCCCTTGGTTACAAACAGAGCTTAGGAATAGATGCTTGAGAGCGGAGGGTGTGGAAGAACTGTGCTTCTAGAATGATCTGGTGTGGGGGGTTCTCATGCTGAGTGCGCTCGCTGCCTGGGAGAAGGTGCTATGGATCTTGTCAGCAATTCCTGTTCTCAGTGGCCTCTCCAGAGCCCCCTTTCAAGAGAAGCCTCTAGGCCAAAGGGTGTCGAAAAGGAAGGGGACAAAAAAAACAATGGGATGAGATGACGAAGCAGGGAGGAAGACACGTCTTACTGCCCCAGTGGCTGAGGGCACTTCAGGAAGGGCTCGGGGCACATGGCCAAGGCCCTGGTCTGGGCCCCCCAGAGCCCAGGATGCCCTGCTCTCTGCACCGGGTTATCCGTCTGCAGACAGGTGCAGCAACTGTGTGCCAGAGTGTTCCAAAGCCCTGACACAACTCCAAGCCACCAGCCACACCGAGGACACCCTTCAAGGCGGAGTCAGACTGGATCCGCTAGAACTCACACCCAGAGGAGGAGAGCCAGGGTGTGTCGGGTTTCCAGGAGTTGGGGAGTGGGGGACAGTGACTAGAGCAGAAACTGACCAAGGCCAGAAAGGATACCACCTGCTTCTCTGCCTCCCTGGGGCTTGAGAGCACCCGGGTGGCACGGGTGTAACCCCATGGTGCTGGTCCAGCTGGCAGCGGGCACCCAAACAACACCTGTGCCCGCCTCCTCCCTCCCTCACCAAACCCACACCCCTGGCCAGGGTCCCAGCTGGCCAGGGCCTGGCAGCTGCTGGCAGGAGCAGGCCTGGGGAGGGGCAGTCTGGAAGGACAGCCCAGCCACCTCCTCACTGAGTCAGCCCATTGAGCAAGAGTCCAAAAGTCCTTCCGAGTTTCTGTCTGGGGCCTATCCTGCCTCCTCAGAGCAGGGCCGCAGGGTGGGGGTGGGGTGGGCGCCGCCCCTCCGCAGGCAGCCAGCAGGACAGAGAAGGAGACCTTGGGAAAGCCGATCAACACGCAGAGGAGGACTGGGGACTGCTGTCAGCCAGGTCCCCAATAGGACCTCTCTGCCTACCGAGACCGAAAGAGCGGGGGCAATCAGAACTTTTATAGACCGGCGTGAACAACACAGCCTGTCAAAGTACACGGGCCGCAGCATAGCCCTGAAAACGTGTACCTCGCCCTTTGGAATTTCAGTTCTCCAAGGAAGTCTGGAGAATAGTTTATGTGGGGTCTTTGCAAACATGTCAAAGAGAAAGATTCTCCATGTATTCCGGGACGCCCCCACCCCTAGGGTACTTAGGGTGACTATTAGCTCTGCACTGTTCATCTGTCCCAAGCCCTATCCCTCCTAGAGACAAGGACAGGACAGAGGCTCGGGCGGCTCACCTGCCCCTCTCAGTCCTGGCCGTCCACCCTGCCAGGGCATCCTGTGCCCCTCCCCAGAGGCCAGGGCAGGGCCCAGCCAGAGCGGGAAGCAAGCTGAGCACTTCTGCTCTGGACAAGGGAGGAGGGGATGTGGGAGGGGAAGCCATTAATTAGTCACACTTGCTAATTAATTATTAACCACTGAGGAGTTGCCTTGGAAAGTTGGGACAACTCAGCCCTGATTCTCAGCGCTCCTGGACTGTTGCAGAGAGGTGCGGGGACAGAGGGGGGGCCTTGGCGTGCCTCCTCGCTCCTCCAGCTTCCCCCTCCCCCAGGTCCGCCAGTCCCTCAGTGCCAGGGGCACGGGGGAGGCGCTGACATCCACAGGGTCCCAGTCTGATGCCGGGCTCACTCGCTGCTCCAAGCAGGGCAAAGAGCACAGGCCCGGAAGTGCAGAGTCCTGGATTCCAGTCTCGATTCTGCTACTGTCCGCGCTACCTTGGGGACGTCAGGGGCCTCGGTGGGCCTTCTTTGCTCATATGCACCGTGAAGATTAGACAGTGTCTAAGGCCCTTCCAGCTCCCCGATCTCAATCTGGACCTCTTGGACGATGCTAGGCTGAGAAGGAAACCCAACGCATCTGCCCCTGCCGAGGCTGCCCCCCAGCTGCGGGAGCGGGCCCAGGGGTCCACAGGCAGGGCTCGGGCCCGCCCAGGAGGCATAGCTATTAGATAGAGGCAGTTCGGGTAACATCCCCTCCCCCCCAACACAGGGACCCCTCCTGGTCCTGCCTGCCTTTGGCTGGCCCCAGTAGCAGCCCACCTGGCTGAACAATGTCCCCAGAAAAAGGCAGAGGGGGAGAGGAGAGGCATAAAGGGAGGAAGGGAAAGTCCAGTACACTTTCCCTCAGGCCGAGCCATTGCGGACCCCCCATCACAAACGTGCCCCCAAAGCCGGGTCCCGAGCCTGTCTGTTCCAGCTAATCTCCGCTTGCCCTCTCTCTGGCGGAAACTCAGGCCTGGGAAACCACAGGGACGGCCCCCCATCCAAGCCCACCAGCACCCCTCTGTCACCTCTATGTCCCAGACGCGAGCTGGTGGGGGGCAGAAAGGGGTGACGGCCACAGCCTGGGCTCCCTCCACTCCCAAGCCAGCCTGCCCTCAGCCCCAAAGACCCGCTCCACCCTGCCCCACCCTCACCTGCTTCTGGGCTTTAGTCCAGGAATTCAGGGAACAGCCCCTGCCCAGTCAGGGGGCGCAGGGGTCTCGCATGTTGCCTCAGGCTCTCTGAGGCTGCAGCTGCCCACCTTGTGCTCTCTCCGACGGACTGGGCTGCTGGCCGCGGCCGCCCCTCTCACCCGCCTGCCGCCTGCCGTCCCTCCCAGGCTGCAGGGCCACAGGAGCCAGGTACTTGTTATGACTTGAGTCAGAGGGGAGGGGCAGGTGAGCAAGTCCTTCCCTGAACAAATCCCGCGACTGTTGCCGGCAGGCAGCTCCGGGCCTCTGCACTTCCGGGGGGCAGGAGGGGAGCAGGGAGAAAGGGGCTCCCCGTGGAGGAATCCCCTAGGAGGGAACAGGGGTCACGTCTTCATGGCCCCAAGAGACAATGTGCAACGTGTTGAGCTGAGGTCCCTGCCTGAATGTCCTCCTGTCCTGACCCTGCTCTGCCTGCCTTCCTTGTACCTCAGTTTCCCATTCCAGAAATGGAGGTATGTTAGGACCCCCCAAACAGGTTAAATGTTCACTGTCCATGGAAAATACCAGCAGGAAATTTACAGACTGACAAGGATGGGTCATTGCTCCTCCTCATACACTGAAATGGAGACCAAGGCCTGAGTTTCGTCATTCCCAAATCAGGATTTAGAAAGCTCGGGGCAAAGCAGCTGGAGTCCCGTCTGTAGAGGCTCTAGGGTTCCAGACAGGGAGGACCAGGCTGTTCTCTTTTATCCCGGGGTGTCAGGGCCATCACTTCTCTGTGTATGGTTTACATCCATCCCCCAGCAACTCCATTCACTGGGGCGCTGACCCAAATCCCAGTTCTGTCCCCTACTCCACAAGAAGGCCACTGTGACCCCCGGCTCTCTGCCCACTGCTGAAATGCAAGGCACCAGAAACTAAAATGGAATTTACTCCCTACAAAAAAAGAAGCCTCCAGGTTTCCCACAACCCTCAAGCAATTGGAAAACTGTTGAGAATCCAGCCTGTTTCCCAGGGGGAAGCAGAGCTAGGCCGGCTGTTGCCGAAATACACAGAGCCGTCACCGCGGGCGGCACCCCTCGAGTCTCCATCCCACCGCCTCCCTTTCCCCTGCTCTCTGATCCTCCCGCCGTGCCCCCTTCAGATTCCAGTACCTTAACATGCGCCTGAATTGCGTCCCCACTCCCTGCCCCGCAGTGTGGGGACAACCTAGTGTGTCCCGTGGAGCAGAGCTCTCAAAGGCGCCCCAGCCAGCAGCCCCCGCTCCTATCTACACATCACAGCACACCTACACATTCCTGCACACGCCCTCTTTCCAAACAATGCCCACAGTGCTCCAGGCTGACCACCTCCTCTCCTCCCCAGGCAGAGGCTGAGGGGCCCTATCAAGGGACAGTCCCCTGCCCGCCATAGTGTGCTCTCTGGCTCTCCCAAAGAGCCTGCAGCCCTTCCCTCCCCCAAGGCCTCCACAATTCAGCAATCCCTCCCCACAGAGGTGCACCCCTTGCTTCCAAAGTCAAACAGAGAGATTGACTTTGGGCATAAGCGGCCCTTCCTCCACCTTGCCCTTCCCCCCCAGCTCCAGGTGGAGGCGTGTGGAAGTTTCTAGAATCAGCTCAAAACTCATCTTTCTTAATGCATAAATTAAAATCGAGAGAATCACTAAGAGAACCAATTATATTGGATACAGTGCTAAAAACAGAGAAACATAGCAATATAGATGCTTCTTTATTAACATTAAACAGGATCTAGCAGTGGGTAATTTCATACACGTGATGAATGTAAACAATATTTTGAGACAGCAGGACTGCGAAGTGATATGCAGCTGTGAATCCCACTGATGGCAAAGGCACAGGTACTGCCAATGCTCCTGTTGCCTTCACAGCTAAAGATGATGCTAAATTCCTGTTAAAGGTCGGTGAAAAATAAAGATGCACTTTTTTTCCCCCCATCTAAGTTTATTACAAACCCTCTGAATTCTATCCACAGAAGCCCTGGTGCCCATGGACCCAGTTAAGGATCCAAGCCCTCAGATAATCCACCGCCTCTGAGTTCCAGGGAGAGAAGCACAGATGATCCACCTTCCTGTTTGCACTGGTCCTGTGGAATTCTCAGACACCTTGTTCCCCCAAATTCACACCCAGCACTTCCCAACTGCAGAATCTGAGGTCTGGAAGGGGCTGGCAAACCAGCCCTCCTGCAAAGGACCCCAGGGAGGCTCCACCGGATCTAGCTGCCATGTCGTTCAACTCAGAACACCAAGGGGAGGTGGGCTCTCTGGAGGCCCCCTGGGAATTTGGAACTCAGCAGCGACTCTTGCCGGTCTCTGGAATGAGGGGACTGATGCTGCAGCTGGGAACCCGGAATATCATCGCCAAGACCCCCTTGATGTTGTGAGGAAATCGCGTTTCCTTGCACAGCATCATAGTGCCTGGAATCTGATCTTTGTGGACAAGAGCCCTCCCCAGGAAGAAAAAACTGTACCACTTCAGGGCTTTCATTTCCTATAGAAGGGTCCTGAATCAGAAAACTCTTCCGTAGAGCCGACATCCACTCTCCAGTTTTTTTTAAAGTTCCTTCTTTTAAGTTTCTTCCGATATATCAGATTGGAAGTTCTTTAAAGCAATGGCCTCGTCCTGCCGTCTCCACATCCCCAACGGCACCCAGCAAAGCACGGTCTGGGGCACTCCTAACATTGTACTTAATGAATTAATGAATCCATGGTTAGCCGCTAGAGTCAACACTGGAAAAAGGAAGAAGGGAATAGCCCGGGACCCTCCAGGCAAGAGGGGTAGGAGGTGGTTCCTGAACTTTCTTCCTCGACTCTCCTCCCTGCCCACCGGGAAAGGTGTTCGCCTCCGCCAAGCGATGGTGGAGTGGCTGGCGCAGGGGACTCCACGCTAGCCTGGAATGCGCCCTGAAATCGGACCTCCAGACTTTCTTTAAAAAGCCCCTTTGTCCTGTCCACCCCGCTCCCCTCCCCCACCGCGCCCTCGCATCCAGGCCGGCCCGAGACTTTGCTCCTTTTGTTTGGCGCTTTCTGGCTTCCCGGAACCTGGCCAGGGGACCCACACATGGGGAAGGTCGAAGGAGAAAGGTGGCGGGGCTGGAAATACGCATCGTCGGTAGGAACTCAGAGCTCCCGCCCCCTTGGCAAAATCACCCCAGTCCCTGCCGGGCCTCCTCCGCTGAGGCTGAGGACCGTAGGACCAGGCGCTGAGCCCCTCAGTGCACCCGCGCCGGGTCCCCCAAGTGTCCCCCTTACCTGGCCCACGGAGCTCCGCCGCCGCCCGCCTGCCCCCGCGCCCCCGGTTCCCGCCTCGCAGCGTCAGGACCGGTCCGTGCAGGCCATCTCCCCGCGCCCCGGGCCTCCCCCCGGCCCGCCCTCCCCCGAGGTATTTCATTTAACTTCGGCATTTGCAGCATCCCAAATGTTAAAGATCCCAAGACATCTGTCCCCTGGGGCATACCAAGGCCCGGAGGAGAGAGGGGAAGATGCGAGAAGGGACTCGAGATTCCGACCCAGGAGTCGGGGCGGGGCCGCATGCTGGGGGCCAGGGTGGCAGCGGGGGTGCGTGCCCCGTGCGGGCAGCCGCTCGAGGGCCGAAGCTGTCCCCCTTCTCCCGCGTTCAGACGCCCGCGCGGCGGGACACCCCCGGCGCCGCCAGTTCCCGCAGCCCGGGCGGGACGAGGCTCCCCTCCGCGTCCGAGTGCCGCCTTTCATTCGCGCGCTCTGGCCTGGCCGGGGGCAGTTTTCATTCCTGGGGACCCCGGAGAGGAAGAATGAAAGGGGACGGCGGGAGGGCGCCCCCGCACCATGCGCTGGCCCCCGCCCCTCCCCCAGCTGCGCGGCGCCGCCGGCCGCCGAGCCCCGGCTGCCGCCCTCCCGCGGCCTGGCCCTCTCCCGCGGCCGGGACCGGCCGGCCGGACCGGCTGGTGACGGGAAGGCGCACGCTCCCCGCGAGCGCCTCCTGCTGTCCCTGCAGCCCGCGAGCCCCGCCCGCCCGTCCATTCGTCGCTCACGCACGCTGCCCGGCTGGCATTTGTGCAATGAACTCTTACTAAGCACCTACCAGTGCCCAGCACCCGGATCAGAGCTCACGCCCCTCCACTGGAGGGTCCTCCAATCGAGCGATCAAGCAGCGGCAGTACCAGGGAAGTAAGGGCGAGGAATCGGGGCCAGGAGAGGGGAGGCCGACCCAGGCTGGGGGTCGGGTCCTCCAGGCTTGGCCAGAGGAGGCAATGCCAGAGGAATCTGGGAGATGCTAGGAGGACCTTGAAACAGCGGTGACAGGTGCACAAAAGCGCGATGGTGAAGCAGCACGGCAGGTTCTAGGAAGCCCAGGGAGTTTGGGTGTGGGAAGAGGAAGAGGTAAGGGGACAGGAGATGGAAGAGCGGCCAGGCTAAAGCGGCAGGCCCAGGCCCATCAAGAAGCAGGGCGGACATGAACAGAATTTTTTTCAAATGGCCGACAGACACATGGAAAAAATGTTCAATGTCACAACCATCGGGGAAATGCAAATTAAAACCACTATGAGATACCACCTTGCCCCTGTTAGAGTGGTCATTATTAAAAAGTGAAAAAACAATAGATGCTGGCGTGGATGCAGAGAGAACCGTATGCTTATACACTGTTGGTGGGACGCAAATTAGTACAACCTCTATGGAAAACAGTATGGAGATTCCTCCGAGAGCTAAAAGTAGACCTACTATTCCACCCAGCAATCCCACTACTGGGTGTCTGTCTACCCAAAGGAAAAGAAATCATTTTATCAAAAAGACACCTGCACTTGGATGTTTATCGCAGCACAATTCACAAATGCAAAGACATGGAATGAACCTAAGTGCCCATCAGTACATGAGTGGATAAAAGAAAATGTGTATATATGTGTTCCATGGGCACTACTCAGCCATAAGAAGGAATGGAATAATGTCATTCTCGGCAACTTGGCTGCAGCTGGAGCCACATTATCCTAAGTGAAGTATCTCCAGAATGGAAAAACAAATACTGTTTTTGCTAATAAGTGGGAGCTAAGTGATGGGTGCACATCGGCACAGAAAGATAGTAAAGGGCGTTGGAAACTATGAAGGGGGAGAGTGTTGGTACAAAGAACGCTGTCCTGGTGGTGGGCACACTGGAAGCTCCGACTTGAGCATCACAGAGTGTATCCATTTAACAAAAACTTTCCTACCTCCTTAATATTTTGAAAATAAATAAACAAATAAATTTACAAAATAATGTCAAAAAAAATAAAAGTTAAAAAGGAAGCA